CACAACATAACCTCAACACACAACATAACCTCAACACACAACATAACCTCAACACACAAAACAGAACCTCAACAAACACAACATAACCTCAACACACACACACACAACATAACCTCAACACACACACAACATAACCTCAACACACACACAACATAACCTCAACACACACAACAGCTCCTGAAACAGCAAACACAACATAACCTCAACACACAACATAACCTCAACACAGACAACAGAACCTCAACACACAAAACAGAACCTCAACAAACACAACATAACCTCAACACACACAACAGAACCTCAACACACACAACATAACCTCAACACACACAACATAACCTCAACACACACAACATAACCTCAACACACACAACATAACCTCAAAACACACAACATAACCTCAACACACACAACATAACCTCAACACACAACATAACCTCAACACACACAACATAACCTCAACACAGACAACAGAACCTCAATAAACACAACATAACCTCAACACACACAACAGAACCTCAACACACACAACATAACCTCAACACACACAACATAACCTCAACACACACAACATAACCTCAACACACACAACATAACCTCAACACAGACAACAGAACCTCAACGCACACAACAGAACCTCAACACACACAACATAACCTCAACACACACAACATAACCTCAACACACACAACATAACCTCAACACAGACAACAGAACCTCAATAAACACAACAGAACCTCAACACACACAACATAACCTCAACACACACAACATAACCTCAACACACACAACATAACCTCAACACAGACAACAGAACCTCAACACACACAACATAACCTCAACACACACAACATAACCTCAACACAGACAACAGAACCTCAACACACACAACATAACCTCAACACACACAACATAACCTCAACACACACAACATAACCTCAACACACACAACAGAACCTCAACACAGACAACAGAACCTCAACGCACACAACAGAACCTCAACGCACACAACAGAACCTCAACACACACAACAGAACCTCAACACACACAACAGAACCTCAACACACACAACAGAACCTCAACACAGACAACAGAACCTCAACTTACACAACAGAACCTCAACGCACACAACAGAACCTCAACGCACACAACAGAACCTCAACACACACAACATAACCTCAACACACACAACATAACCTCAACACACACAACATAACCTCAACACAGACAACAGAACCTCAATAAACACAACAGAACCTCAACACACACAACATAACCTCAACACACACAACAGAACCTCAACACACACAACAGAACCTCAACACACACAACATAACCTCAACACACACAACATAACCTCAACACACACAACAGAACCTCAACGCACACAACAGAACCTCAACGCACACAACAGAACCTCAACGCACACAACAGAACCTCAACACACACAACATAACCTCAACACACACAACATAACCTCAACACACACAACATAACCTCAACACACACAACAGAAACTCAACGCACACAACAGAACCTCAACACACACAACAGAACCTCAACACACACAACATAACCTCAACACACACAACATAACCTCAACACAGACAACAGAACCTCAATAAACACAACAGAACCTCAACAAACACAACATAACCTCAACACACACAACAGAACCTCAACGCACACAACAGAACCTCAACACAGACAACAGAACCTCAACACACACAACAGAACCTCAACAAACACAACATAACCTCAACACACACAACATAACCTCAACACACAACATAACCTCAACACACAACATAACCTCAACACACAACATAACCTCAACACAGACAACAGAACCTCAACAAACACAACATAACCTCAACACACAACAACATAACCTCAACACACACAACATAACCTCAACACACAACATAACCTCAACACACACAACATAACCTCAACACACACAACATAACCTCAACACACAACATAACCTCAACACACACAACATAACCTCAACACAGACAACAGAACCTCAACAAACACAACATAACCTCAACACACACAACATAACCTCAACACACACAACATAACCTCAACACAGACAACAGAACCTCAACGCACACAACAGAACCTCAACGCACACAACATAACCTCAACACAGACAACAGAACCTCAACGCACACAACAGAACCTCAACGCACACAACAGAACCTCAATAAACACAACAGAACCTCAACACACACAACATAACCTCAACACAGACAACAGAACCTCAACACACAACATAACCTCAACACAGACAACAGAACCTCAACACACAACAACATAACCTCAACACACACAACATAACCTCAACACACAACATAACCTCAACACACACAACATAACCTCAACACACACAACATAACCTCAACACACACAACATAACCTCAACACACACAACATAACCTCAACACACAACATAACCTCAACACACAACATAACCTCAACACAGACAACATAACCTCAACACACAACATAACCTCAACACACACAACATAACCTCAACACACACAACATAACCTCAACACACACAACATAACCTCAACACACACAACATAACCTCAACACACACAACATAACCTCAACACAGACAACAGAACCTCAACGCACACAACAGAACCTCAACGCACACAACAGAACCTCAATAAACACAACAGAACCTCAACACACACAACATAACCTCAATAAACACAACAGAACCTCAACACAGACAACAGAACCTCAACACACAACATAACCTCAACACAGACAACAGAACCTCAACACACAACAACATAACCTCAACACACACAACATAACCTCAACACACACAACATAACCTCAACACAGACAACAGAACCTCAACGCACACAACAGAACCTCAACGCACACAACATAACCTCAACACACACAACATAACCTCAACACACACAACAGAACCTCAACACAGACAACAGAACCTCAACACACAACATAACCTCAACACAGACAACAGAACCTCAACACACAACAACATAACCTCAACGCACACAACAGAACCTCAATAAACACAACAGAACCTCAACACAGACAACAGAACCTCAACACACAACATAACCTCAACACAGACAACAGAACCTCAACACACAACAACATAACCTCAACACACACAACATAACCTCAACACACACAACATAACCTCAACACAGACAACAGAACCTCAATAAACACAACAGAACCTCAACAAACACAACATAACCTCAACACACACAACAGAACCTCAACGCACACAACAGAACCTCAACACAGACAACAGAACCTCAACACACACAACAGAACCTCAACAAACACAACATAACCTCAACACACACAACATAACCTCAACACACAACATAACCTCAACTCACAACATAACCTCAACACACAACATAACCTCAACACAGACAACAGAACCTCAACAAACACAACATAACCTCAACACACAACAACATAACCTCAACACACACAACATAACCTCAACACACAACATAACCTCAACACACACAACATAACCTCAACACACACAACATAACCTCAACACACAACATAACCTCAACACACACAACATAACCTCAACACAGACAACAGAACCTCAACAAACACAACATAACCTCAACACACACAACATAACCTCAACACACACAACATAACCTCAACACAGACAACAGAACCTCAACGCACACAACAGAACCTCAACGCACACAACATAACCTCAACACAGACAACAGAACCTCAACGCACACAACAGAACCTCAACGCACACAACAGAACCTCAATAAACACAACAGAACCTCAACACACACAACATAACCTCAACACAGACAACAGAACCTCAACACACAACATAACCTCAACACAGACAACAGAACCTCAACACACAACAACATAACCTCAACACACACAACATAACCTCAACACACAACATAACCTCAACACACACAACATAACCTCAACACACACAACATAACCTCAACACACACAACATAACCTCAACACACACAACATAACCTCAACACACAACATAACCTCAACACACAACATAACCTCAACACAGACAACATAACCTCAACACACAACATAACCTCAACACACACAACATAACCTCAACACACACAACATAACCTCAACACACACAACATAACCTCAACACACACAACATAACCTCAACACACACAACATAACCTCAACACAGACAACAGAACCTCAACGCACACAACAGAACCTCAACGCACACAACAGAACCTCAATAAACACAACAGAACCTCAACACACACAACATAACCTCAACACAGACAACAGAACCTCAACACACAACATAACCTCAACACAGACAACAGAACCTCAACACACAACAACATAACCTCAACACACACAACATAACCTCAACACACAACATAACCTCAACACACACAACATAACCTCAACACACACAACATAACCTCAACACACACAACATAACCTCAACACACACAACATAACCTCAACACACACAACATAACCTCAACACACAACATAACCTCAACACACAACATAACCTCAACACAGACAACAGAACCTCAACAAACACAACATAACCTCAACACACACAACATAACCTCAACACACACAACATAACCTCAACACAGACAACAGAACCTCAACACACACAACATAACCTCAACGCACACAACATAACCTCAACACACACAACATAACCTCAACACACACAACATAACCTCAACACACACAACATAACCTCAACACAGACAACAGAACCTCAACACACACAACAGAACCTCAACACACACAACATAACCTCAACACACACAACATAACCTCAACACAGACAACAGAACCTCAACACAGACAACAGAACCTCAACACACACAACAGAACCTCAACACACACAACAGAACCTCAACACACACAACAGAACCTCAACACACAGACTAGACTAGCTAACGCATTAGCGCTGATGTTCGTACCTTGCAGTCGCGGTTCCAGGCCGCCAGCACCAGGTTCCTCAGCGCCAGATACATGGTGGGATCCCTGGAGAATTCTGGGAACTCGTACAACTCGTCCAGCTCCATCATGTCGGGTCTCACACACAAGGCTTTCCCACACTCGTTCGGCTGATAGAAGGGCTGGAAATATGGCGAGAGTCCGGGAACTACACACACACACACGCATTTTCTAATTTAAAAAAATCACAAATTTTCATCCATTTCTCAAGAGACATAAATAAATACACTTTCACCATGTTTTTATGAGTAAAATGTTCTATAAATCAGGCTAATGAAATATGATCAAACCTTCAGAATATGAATATGAATAAAACTGTACAGTTTGGTGTGTGTGAAGCTGCTGAAGAGATTTCTGACTCAAACTTACCGCCTTTACAGAGATGATTGAGTGCAATAAACAAACACTTAAATGTGTGTTTTGGGTGTTTTCTCTCCACTAGTCTGAAAGACGACACTGCTTTTCCTGCCGTCGTGAAATCTAAATCTGTTCATATGCTGACGAGTCTTTCAGAGAGTTGATTCTGAAAACACGTGGTTGTGTTGGTGAGAGTGATCGGACTCACGGTGAGGCGGCGCTGCCCGGCGTTGCTCCTGGCGCTGGTTCCCCGGGCCGGCAGACGGGCTCATGCCCACACAGTCCGGGTAATAAGCGCTGAGGAACGGGCTAGCGGGACTGTCCTTAAGCAGCGGCGGCAGGATGAGCATCGAGAGCCACCAGCTGTCCGTCACACCGGCCACACGCTGATCAACGACAGCATCATCATCAGAATCATCATCATCAGCATCATCATCATCATCATCATCATCATCATCATCATCATCATCAGCATCATCATCATCAGCAGCAGCATCATCATCATCATCAGCATCAGCATCATCATCATCATCATCATTATCATCATCATCATCAGCATCATCATCATCATCAGCATCATCATCATCATCATCATCAGCAGCATCATCAGCATCATCAGCAGCAGCAGCATCATCATCATCATCATGTGGTGTTAATCATGTTAATCAGTCTGAACACTGATGGGTCTGTGAACTTCATGGTCATATTAATATATTTCTGTCTGACTGTGGTACAGTCTGTTTGGTCACTGAATGGCCAGAGTAAAATCACTGAACCACTGATCAACCGAATGAAGAGATCAAAAGATCTTTACCACGTCCTCCGGCTGAGAACACGCATCACTTCCTTCGCTCTGCAAAACAAAAGCACAGAGACGTGAGGATCAGCACACGCCCCAGCACACGCTCCAGCACACGCCCCAGCACACGCTCCAGCACACGCCCCAGCACACGCTCCAGCACACGCCCCAGCACACGCTCCAGCACACGCCCCAGCACACGCTCCAGCACACTAGGGCTGTAGCGATACACTAATCTCACGATACGATACGATACACGATATTCGGCTGACGATACGATATATATCACGATATTCAGCCAACGATACGATTCGATATAATTCGATACACTTACATCATTTTCTGAAAGATTTAAAGGGGACAGAATGATTTTGGTGACATCTTGTGAGTCTTCCATTTACTTGGATTGAATTAATTGAACTGAAAACTGAAAACATCATTTACACAATATATGTCTCTGGCTGGGCAGAGAGTACAGCTTGCAAATGCTGGACAAAATGAATCAAATATGTGTAGAGAAAATTAGTTCTATTTATTGAAAGACAACAGTGCAAACTGTAGCTTATAAGCCTTTGTTAATTGCAATACTGCACTTTATTTACTTTTCAATGGAGAGTTAAAAGGTGCAGCAAGTGGCCTGTTGTGAACAGTTTCTTTGCACTGCCTTTTCTTTGACAGCTTTTTTAGCTTGACACTGAACATGTGACGTGCTTCAGTTGTGCGCGAGGTCAAGCCGTCGCACGTCAGGGAAACTCTCTCCGCGCTGGCCAGGGAGGCTTTGACGTGTGCTCTTGCCTGAGTGTACAGCCTGGGAATGCAAACCTTGATGAGGTGTTCGCGGGTTGGAATAGGATAGCGGGGCTCCATCGCGTTCACCATGCGCCTAAAGCCGGCGTTTTCCACCACCGAATACGATTTTTTTTTACATTTTTTTTTTTTACTAAGCCTATTTAAAATCGTATTTGATTGCAGAGCGCCGCAGCGCATTCACGCAGCACTACCTCGCTCTCTCTCTCTCTCTCTCTCTCTCTCTCTCTCTCTCTCTCTCTCTCTCTCTCTCTCTCTCTCTCACACACACACACACACACACACTCATCCGTACCTCGCGCACTTTCTCACTCACGGAACACCGCTGCACAAATCTGTCCAACACAGCGCTGTCAATTTCGGAGACCCAGCTTTAAAAAAAGCTACTAGCCAGCATGCAAGGAGCCTAGCCAACAAGGAGAGCTAAGTTGTTGTTTGAATACAGCTGGATTTTCGTCAATATCGATGCACGCGCGCAGCTGGCCACTAGCGGCTGGCTGACCAAATCACTCTTCATGCAACGCGAACGGGTTTAACACGGGGGATTTGAATGGGACTTATGTATCGATACTCGCGGCCTAAAAATCGATACTTTCTTGGGAGAAAAAATATCGATTTATATCGCAGAATCGATAAAATCGCTCAGCCCTACAGCACACGCCCCAGCACACGCCCCAGCACACGCCCCAGCACACGCCCCAGCACACGCTCCAGCACACGCCCCAGCACACGCCCCAGCACACGCTCCAGCACACGCCCCAGCACACGCCCCAGCACACGCCCCAGCAGGCGGCCCCAGCACACGCCCCAGCACACGCCCCAGCACACGCCCCAGCACACGCCCCAGCACACGCTCCAGCACACGCCCCAGCACACGCCCCAGCACACGCCCCAGCACACGCCCCAGCACACGCCCCAGCACACGCTCCAGCACACGCCCCAGCACACGCCCCAGCACACGCCCCAGCACACGCCCCAGCACACGCTCCAGCACACGCTCCAGCACACGCCCCAGCACACGCTCCAGCACACGCCCCAGCACAGGCCCCAGCACACGCCCCAGCACACGCCCCAGCACACGCCCCAGCACACGCTCCAGCACACGCTCAGGCACACGCCCCAGCACACGCTCCAGCACACGCCCCAGCACACGCTCCAGCACACGCCCCAGCACACGCCCCAGCACACGCCCCAGCACACGCCCCAGCACACGCTCCAGCACACGCTCCAGCACACGCCCCAGCACACGCCCCAGCACACGCTCCAGCAGGCGGCCCCAGCACACGCCCCAGCACACGCCCCAGCACACGTCCCACCACACGCTCCAGCACACGCTCCAGCACACGCTCCAGCACACGCCCCAGCACACGCTCCAGCACACGCTCCAGCACACGCCCCAGCACACGTCCCACCACACGCTCCAGCACACGCTCCAGCACACGCCCCAGCACACGCTCCAGCACACGCTCCAGCAGGCGGCCCCAGCACACGCCCCAGCACACGCCCCAGCACACGTCCCACCACACGCTCCAGCACACGCTCCAGCACACGCTCCAGCACACGCCCCAGCACACGCTCCAGCACACGCTCCAGCACACGCCCCAGCACACGTCCCACCACACGCTCCAGCACACGCTCCAGCACACGCCCCAGCACACGCTCCAGCACACGCCCCAGCACACGCCCCAGCACACGCCCCAGCACACGCCCCAGCACACGCTCCAGCACACGCCCCAGCACACGCCCCAGCACACGCCCCAGCACACGCCCCAGCACACGCTCCAGCACACGCCCCAGCACACGCCCCAGCACACGCCCCAGCACACGCCCCAGCACACGCTCCAGCACACGCTCCAGCACACGCCCCAGCACACGCTCCAGCACACGCCCCAGCACACGCCCCAGCACACGCTCCAGCACACGCTCCAGCACACGCCCCAGCACACGCTCCAGCACACGCCCCAGCACACGCCCCAGCACACGCTCCAGCACACGCTCCAGCACACGCTCCAGCACACGCCCCAGCACACGCCCCAGCACACGCCCCAGCACACGCCCCAGCACACGCCCCAGCACACGCCCCAGCACACGCTCCAGCACACGCTCCAGCACACGCCCCAGCACACGCCCCAGCACACGCCCCAGCACACGCCCCAGCACACGCCCCAGCACACGCTCCAGCACACGCTCCAGCACACGCCCCAGCACACGCTCCAGCACACGCCCCAGCACACGCCCCAGCACACGCTCCAGCACACGCTCCAGCACACGCCCCAGCACACGCTCCAGCACACGCCCCAGCACACGCCCCAGCACACACTCCAGCACACGCTCCAGCACACGCCCCAACACACGCCCCAGCACACGCCCCAGCACACGCTCCAGCAGGCGGCCCCAGCACACGCTCCAGCACACGCTCCAGCACACGCCCCAGCACACGTCCCACCACACGCTCCAGCACACGCTCCAGCACACGCTCCAGCACACGCCCCAGCACACGCTCCAGCACACGCTCCAGCACACGCCCCAGCACACGTCCCACCACACGCTCCAGCACACGCTCCAGCACACGCCCCAGCACACGCTCCAGCACACGCCCCAGCACACGCCCCAGCACACGCCCCAGCACACGCCCCACCACACGCCCCAGCACACGCCCCAGCACACGCCCCAGCACACGCTCCAGCACACGCTCCAGCACACGCTCCAGCACACGCCCCAGCACACGCTCCAGCACACGCCCCAGCACACGCCCCAGCACACGCTCCAGCACACGCTCCAGCACACGCCCCAGCACACGCTCCAGCACACGCCCCAGCACACGCCCCAGCACACACTCCAGCACACGCTCCAGCACACGCTCCAGCACACGCCCCAGCACACGCCCCAGCACACGCCCCAGCACACGCCCCAGCACACGCCCCAGCACACGCTCCAGCACACGCTCCAGCACACGCCCCAGCACACGCTCCAGCACACGCCCCAGCACACGCTCCAGCACACGCTCCAGCACACGCTCCAGCACACGCTCCAGCACACGCTCCAGCACACGCCCCAGCACACGCTCCAGCACACGCTCCAGCACACGCCCCAGCACACACTCCTCGACGGGCAGGTGAGCGATGTGTTCTCACCTTCACGCTGTTGATCTTCATCCCACAGCGATAAGATGATGCCAGAGAAGCCGTCAGAGCCGACTCTTTACTCAGCTGACGCCATCTGCCACAGTCTGCTTTACTGCACTGGACCTGACACACACACACACACACACACACACACACACACATGATTATCAGTCTAGGTTACACAGACACTGGTCTAGGTTACACAGACGCCGGTCTAGGTTACACAGACGCCGGTCTAGGTTACACAGACGCCGGTCTAGGTTACACAGACGCCGGGTCTAGGTTACACAGACGCCGGTCTAGGTTACACAGACGCCGGTCTAGGTTACACAGACGCCGATCTAGGTTACACACACACGCCGGTCTAGGTTACACACACACGCCGGTCTAGGTTACACACACACGCCGGTCTAGGTTACACACACACGCCGGTCTAGGTTACACAGACGCCGGTCTAGGTTACACAGACGCTGGTCTAGGTTACACAGACGCCGGTCTAGGTTACACAGACGCCGGTCTAGGTTACACACACACGCCGGTCTAGGTTACACAGACGCCGGTCTAGGTTACACAGACGCCGGTCTAGGTTACACAGACGCCGGTCTAGGTTACACAGACGCCGGTCTAGGTTACACACACACGCCGGTCTAGGTTACACAGACGCCGGTCTAGGTTACACAGAGCTGGTCTAGGTTAAACAGAGGCCGGCCTAGGTTACACAGAGGCCGGTCTAGGTTACACAGAGGCCGGTCTAGGTTACACAGAGGCCGGTCTAGGTTACACAGAGGCCGGTCTAGGTTATAGGTTACACAGAGGCCGGTCTAGGTTACACAGACGCCGGTCTAGGTTACACAGAGGCCGGTCTAGGTTACACAGAGGCCGGTCTAGGTTACACAGAGGCCGGTCTAGGTTACACAGAGGCCGGTCTAGGTTAAACAGACGCTGGTCTAGGTTACACAGAGGCCGGCCTAGGTTACACAGAGGCCGGTCTAGGTTACACAGAGGCCGGTCTAGGTTACACAGAGGCCGGTCTAGGTTATAGGTTACACAGAGGCCGGTCTAGGTTACACAGACGCCGGTCTAGGTTACACAGAGGCCGGTCTAGGTTATAGCCGGTCTAGGTTACACAGACGCCGGTCTAGGTTACACAGAGGCCGGTCTAGGTTATAGGTTGCACAGAGGCGGTCTAGGTTACACAGACGCCGGTCTAGGTTACACAGACGCCGGTCTAGGTTACACAGACGCCGGTCTAGGTTACACAGACGCCGGTCTAGGTTACACAGACGCCGGTCTAGGTTACACAGAGCTGGTCTAGGTTACACAGACGCTGGTCTAGGTTACACAGACGCTGGTCTAGGTTACACAGACGCTGGTCTAGGTTACACAGACGCTGGTCTAGGTTACACAGACGCTGGTCTAGGTTACACAGACGCTGGTCTAGGTTGCACAGACGCTGGTCTAGGTTACACAGAGCTGGTCTAGGTTACACAGAGCTGGTCTAGGTTACACAGAGCTGGTCTAGGTTACACAGAGCTGGTCTAGGTTACACAGAGCTGGTCTAGGTTACACAGACGCTGGTCTAGGTTACACAGAGCTGGTCTAGGTTACACAGACGCTGGTCTAGGTTACACAGACGCTGGTCTAGGTTACACAGACGCTGGTCTAGGTTACACAGAGCTGGTCTAGGTTACACAGAGCTAGGTTACACAGACGCTGGTCTAGGTTACACAGACGCTGGTCTAGGTTACACAGAGCTGGTCTAGGTTACACAGACGCTGGTCTAGGTTACACAGAGCTGGTCTAGGTTACACAGAGCTGGTCTAGGTTACACAGAGCTGGTCTAGGTTACACAGATGCTGGTCTAGGTTACACAGAGCTGGTCTAGGTTACACAGACGCTGGTCTAGGTTACACAGACGCTGGTCTAGGTTACACAGAGCTGGTCTAGGTTACACAGAGCTGGTCTAGGTTACACAGAGCTGGTCTAGGTTACACAGACGCTGGTCTAGGTTACACAGAGCAGGTCTAGGTTACACAGACGCCGGTCTAGGTTACACAGAGCTGGTCTAGGTTACACAGACCCTGGTCTAGGTTACACAGAGCTGGTCTAGGTTACACAGACGCTGGTCTAGGTTACACAGAGTTAGTCTAGGTTACACAGAGTTAGTCTAGGTTAAACAGTTACTCACCCAGTAGGGCAGCTGCTGGTCGGCCATGAAGGCTTTGAGGCTCGGTTCGCTCTTCCCATTGCTGGTCCAAACCCTCTTCCAGGAGGAGAACGTCTCGTACCCGTCTTTATGACTACAGGAGAACAGAGGAGGATCAGCTGTGACTCGAGCAGCAGAGCCTCAACATTACCCATCAGCACTCACCTTCTGTAGTAATGATCAAAGCACTCGTTACAGAAGTGCTCGCCACACGACAGGTGATACCAGCGAGACGTGTATCCGTTTCTGGCACACCTGATGAAAGCAGACGTTAAACACACTGACCTCTCAATCCTCATTACATCAGATGAGAACAGAGCTGATCTGAATAATGACTCTCTGATCCTCTGTAGAGGCTTCAGCGCTGAGTCAGTCACATCTGATGAAGCTTCAGCACTCATTCTGTTATTTCCTGTTTATTACTGTGAAGCTGCTCTGAAACGATCTGTACTGTATAATGCTTCATCAGTGTAATGCAGTCACTGTAATCACACACACCTGTCAGACGCGCTGGCGAAACACACGGGGTACGTCGCTGGACATCCGGATTTCTCACACTTCCTGAACTTCTTCTCCGACTGATCGTCGTCTTCCCCGGTCTCTGCGGCTTTCCTTCTCGTCTGAAACACACACACACGTGTTCACAGGTGTCCTGCAGGTGCTGCTGTGCTCCTCTGATGTCTCGAACCCTCACCTGTGCTGCAGGTGTGTTCCCTCGGCCCCGCCCACCAGAGTCAGCCCCGCCCACTCCTGCTGAGCGCTTCCTGCCGCGACTCCGTCCCACTGAACACACACATCAACACATCACTACTACACACTAAGCAACACTCACACACACACATACTGTACAGACACACACAATCAAACAGTCTCATTCACACACAGACTGTACAGACACACTCACAGTCTCATTCACACACACACACACACACTGTAGAGACACACTCAAAATTAGTCTCATTCACTGACACAAATACTGTACAAACACACTCAGTCTCATTCACACACACACACACATACTGTACAGAAACACACACACACACACACACACACACACACAGACACATACTATACAGACACAGACAGACACAGACAGACACACACACACACACACACACATACATACACACATACACATACTGAACAGACACACTCAAACTCACAATCTCATTCATACATACACACACAGACTCATTCACAATGCGCATGAACATGAATAAATGACTCTCACCTGAGTCCGCTAGCATTGATAATGATGTTTCTGTTAAACCACTGGATATTTGACTCTTTGTTCTTTATCTAGAGGAATATTTGGCCCTTTGTTCTTTAACGAAACACATTAAATTCAGCATCGTTTATTCTGCCTCATCTGCAGGAAACTCACTCTGTGTGACGTCACTTCCTCTGCTGCGCTTAACAACAAACGTCAAAATAAAAGACCCCTCTCTGTACTGTCTGTTCTCGCAGTTGTCTGTCGTTATAGTGTGGATGCATGAAAGTAGTCGCGTTTCTTTAAAAATGTTTGCTCAGTTTATTATGTAAATTAAGAAACAGAGAGGTGAGCTTCAGCTTTGCGTTTGAAGGGGAGGTTTGTCTCGAGCGGCGCTCCGTAGCTGCACGCGTTACTATGGCGACCGCAGCGCGTCCTGATCCGCCTATAAACACCAGCCGATATAAACACCAGCCGCTGCTGTTGCTGTTCATGAAGGGTTCTGAACATGAGACTCGAGCAGTGACTCGTGCAGTGGATCAGACTGAGATCAGACATGCTGTCCAGCGCGCCGCCCGCGAGGAGCTTCCTTCAGAAACGCGTTGTGACCGACAGAAAGTCTGAGGTGAGTCTCTTTCCGACCTGTGTGTCAGTGACTCCGTTCTGTGAGTCTCTGTCCGAACTCTGTGTCGGTGACTCGGTTCGGTGAGACGCTGTCCGATCTCTGTGTCAGTGACTCGGTTCGATGAGTCTCTGTCCGAACTCTGTGTCGGTGACTCGGTTCGGTGAGACGCTGTCCGATCTCTGTGTCAGTGACTCGGTTCGATGAGTCTCTGTCCGAACTCTGTGTCAGTGACTCGGTTCGATGAGTCTCTGTCCATGACTCGGTTCGGTGAGACGCTGTCCGAACTCTGTGTCAGTGATTCGGTTCGGTGAGACGCTGTCCGAACGCTGTGTCAGTGACTCGGTTCGGTGAGTCTCTGCCCGAACTCTGTGTCAGTGACTCCAAAAAAAAAAAAAAACTCTGTCAGGACTCGGTTTGGTGAGTCTCTGTCAGTGAATCGGTTCTGTGAGTCTCTGTCCGAACTCTGTAACAGTGACTCGGTTCGGTGAGTCTCTGCCCGAACTCTGTGTCAGTGACTCGGTTCGGTTGATTCTGATTGACTGCAGTGTTTTTCAGGCTGTGGGACTCGCGGATCTCTCGAGAGTCATTCAGCTGCTGCAGGATCCGCTCTCAGTAAGACTCGGTTTGCTTGAATTATGCTTGAATTATAATGGGTTCGTTTTTCAGTTTCTCTATTTTTTTCAGTCGTCGTTAAAAGAAAGACAGATTTTCATCTTGAGGAAGGTGGTAAAAAGATGCCAGCGTGGATTTGTATCCTTAGAAGAATTTGGCAAAATAAAAAAAAAGCCATTTTAAAGCTGAAATGTGTAAATGTGATTTTGTCTTTTCTGTATGTGTGTGAATGAGAACGAGTCTGTCCTGGGGCGCTTTATGCAGTACTGTTTCACAACAGGAAAATAACAGAATCAAAGTGTAAACTTCATCAAATATGAGACAAACTCCGATTCTGCTGTAAAGCAGCTCTACAGAAGATGGTCTCAGAAGATCAACTCAGCACAAAATTATTCATAGCATGTTTATGCCTGATTTTTATTTATTATTGTAACAATCACCAAATAAGAATATGCTCCCAAGCCGTCTCTGACTGGCTGACGGTGGAAGCACGTCACCTGTATTATGTAGTAAATAGTGTGAGTAATTATTTCTCGTGCCGTCAGCGTCCTCTGTGGAGCCGAAGTCCCTGAGGTCTCGCTTCAGCCTCTAGAATCAGCAGTTTCCAGCTGTAATTACAACTCGACAGGTTTCCATGAGGTGTTGCTCTGTAAGCCTCAAGCTCTCTGTGGAATAATGTGCTGTTATATTGTGATGATGATGACGTGAAAACACTTTCCTTAAAATGTCAAGCTTTTGAGGGATCTCGCTGACATATGTAAGATTCTGAACCTCTGTGCGGAAAGAGTGACGGATCACCCGGAATATGCCAAAATCCTCTGTGATTTACTTCAGATCTGCGGGTGAGATTTCCAGCCAAAGTCTTTAGGCCATTGTGAACTGAAGTCTTTATGAACTAATCAATGCTTGTCTTCAAGTCTTCCCTTCCTGAAGGAGAGAGCGTCGGATGAGATGAAGTTCGCCGCTGTGGCCGCAAACTGTGTGTCTCAGATGGGTGAGTTCCTGCAAACTCTCCTTCACCACAGAATAACGAGATCAAACACATTATATTTCACATAAAGAAAAGAAGAATCTGTTGTTATGCTCATTTTTGCATTGTGACGTTCAGTTCAGGACGGCTTTCCTCTCAAATTCTCATTACCATAATGCAAATCATTATGTATTTAAAAAATATTTTGTATATAGCCTATAGGCTAATATAGCTATAATAGAGAGTGTTTGAGTGTTTGACCGGAGTCTCCATTGGAGAGCCATCAAGGAGGGACTCAAGGTCTGGGAACCACACACGGGCCGGCCAGAACTGGGCTATCCACATCATGAAGGACTCTCTCCAGAACTCCCGGGAGTCGATCAAAACCTTGTACAGACGCATCCCCGGCACGTCTCCAACCCTGGAAGAGCGGGATACAAGAGGCAGAACCAGAGCCCACAGTGTGTCGTTGTCAGAGACTCAAATAGATCCCCTTCCGCCTGGCCGAACTCCCTCCACGCGAGCTCCACCTCCTCAGGGTGGGTCTGCATTCCCGGGCCTCGACGGATCCTCGCTCCCCAGCCTGTGAGGGTGTTCACACCAAAAGCAAAGTGTATATTCATAAAACATAAGACGCCATTACACAATGACAAGCAGCTCCCAGCACAGGACCCCGGCACAGGATTCCAGGACAGGACTCCAGCACAGAACCCCAGCACAGGACCCAGGGACAGCACCCCAGCACAGGACCCCAGCACAGGACCCCAGCACAGGACCCCAACACAGGACCCCAGCACAGGACCCTGGGACAGCACCCCAGCACAGGACTCCAGCACAGGACTCCAGCACAGGACCCCAGCACAGGACCCCAGGACAGGACTCCAGCACAGGACCCCGGGACAGGACTCCAGCACAGGACTCCAGCACAGGACCCCAGCACAGGACCCTGGGACAGCACCCCAGCACAGGACTCCAGCACAGGACTCCAGCACAGGACCCCAGCACAGGACCCCAGGACAGGACTCCAGCACAGGACCCCGGGACAGGACCCCGGGACAGGACTCCAGCACAGGACCCCAGGACAGGACTCCAGCACAGGACCCCGGGACAGGACTCCAGGACATGAACCCAGGACAGGACTCCAGCACAGGACCCCAGCACAGGACTCCAGCACAGGACTCCAGCACAGGACTCCAGCACAGGACTCCAGCACAGGACTCCAGCACAGGACTCCAGCACAGGACCCCAGGACAGGACTCCAGCACAGGACCCCGGGACAGGACTCCAGCACAGGACCCCGGGACAGGACTCCAGGACAGGACCCCAAGACAGGACTCCAGGACAGGAACCCAGGACAGGACTCCAGCACAGGACCCCGGGACAGGACTCCAGCACAGGACCCCGGGACAGGACCCCGGGACAGCACCCTAGCACAGGACTCCAGCACAGGACTCCAGCACAGGACCCTAGGACAGGACTCCAGCACAGGACCCCGGGACAGGACTCCGGCACAGGACCCCAGGACAGGAACCCAGGACCGGACCCCGGGACAGCACCCCAGCACAGGACCCCAGCACAGGACTTCAGCACAGGACCCCAGGACAGGACTCCAGCACAGGACCCCGGGACAGGACTCCAGCACAGGACCCCAGGACAGGACTGCAGCACAGGACCCCGGGACAGGACTCCAGCACAGGACCCCGGGACAGGACTCCAGGACAGGACCCCAAGACAGGACTCCAGGACAGGAACCCAGGACAGGACTCCAGCACAGGACCCCGGGACAGGACTCCAGCACAGGACCCCGGGACAGGACCCCGGGACAGCACCCTAGCACAGGACTCCAGCACAGGACTCCAGCACAGGACCCCAGGACAGGACTCCAGCACAGGACCCCGGGACAGGACTCCGGCACAGGACCCCAGGACAGGAACCCAGGACCGGACCCTGGGACAGCACCCCAGCACAGGACCCCAGCACAGGACTTCAGCACAGGACCCCAGGACAGGACTCCAGCACAGGACCCCGGGACAGGACTCCAGCACAGTACCCCAGCACAGGACCCCAGGACAGGACCCCGGGACAGGACTCCAGGACAGGATCCCGGGACAGGACTCCAGCACAGGACCCCGGGACAGGACTCCAGCACAGGACCCCGGGACAGGACCCCAGCACAGGACCCCGGGACAGGACCCCAGCACAGGACTCCATCACAGGACCCCAGGACAGGACTCCAGCACAGGACCCCGGGACAGGACTCCAGCACAGGACCCCGGGACAGGACTCCATCACAGGACCCCGGGACAGGACTCCAGGACAGGAACCCAGGACAGGACTCCAGCACAGGACCCCGGGACAGGACTCCAGCACAGGACCCCGGGACAGCACCCTAGCACAGGACTCCAGCACAGGACTCCAGCACAGGACCCCAGGACAGGACTCCAGCACAGGACCCCGGGACAGGACTCCGGCACAGGACCCCAGGACAGGAACCCAGGACCGGACCCCGGGACAGCACCCCAGCACAGGACTCCAGCACAGGACTCCAGCACAGGACCCCAGGACAGGACTCCAGCACAGGACCCCGGGACAGGACTCCAGCACAGTACCCCAGGACAGGACCCCAGGACAGGACCCCAGGACAGGACCCCAGGACAGGACCCCGGGACAGCACCCCAGCACAGGACTCCAGCACAGGACCCCAGCACAGGACCCCAGGACAGGACTCCAGCACAGTACCCCAGCACAGGACTCCAGCACAGGACCCCAGCACAGGACCCCGGGACAGCACCCCAGCACAGGACTCCAGCACAGGACCCCAGCACAGGACCCCAGCACAGGACCCCGGGACAGCACCCCAGCACAGGACTCCAGCACAGGACCCCGGGACAGCACCCCAGCACAGGACTCCAGCACAAGACCCCAGGACAGGACCCCAGCACAGGACCCCGGGACAGCACCCCAGCACAGGACTCCAGCACAGGACCCCAGCACAGGACCCCAGGACAGGACCCCACAACAGGACCCCAGGACAGGACTCCAGGACAGGACTCCAGCACAGGACCCCAGGACAGGACCCCAGGACAGGACCCCAGGTCAGGAACCCAGCACAGGACTCCAGCACAGGACCCCAGGACAGGACCCCGGGATAGGACTCCAGCACAGGACCCCAGCACAGGACCCCAGCACAGGACTCCAGCACAGGACCCCGGGACAGGACCCCAGGACAGGACCCCAGGACAGGACCCCAGCACAGGACCCCAGCACAGGACCCCAGCACAGCACTCCAGCACAGGACCCCGGGACAGGACCCCAGGACAGGACTCCAGCACAGGACCCCAGCACAGGACCCCGGGACAGGACCCCAGCACAGGACTCAAGGACAGGACCCCAGCATAGGACCCCGGGACAGGACACTGCTGTGAGGACCGAATCGATACGAGCAGGAGATAGATATGCCTGCATCGTCGTCGAATCCCACACCTCTCCTAAAGAAGTGATCCTCGATAATAGAGAAAAGACACTAAAAGGAAATCATTCTAATATGATGATTTGCTCTTTAAGAAACATTTCTGATTATTATCAGTGTTGAAAACCATTGTGCTTATTGTTCAGATTTTGTGGAAACGAAGTCTTATTATTTCCATACTTTTGATCGGTAAAGTAAAACAAAGAACTGTATGACAGTACTGAGAATCACAATATATAATGATTAATAAAAGCGCAAAAATGTACTGAATGTCACAATGCTAATATAGACTTTGATTTCTTTATTCAAAGCATAATTTCTCATTTATGTGTTGATATATTACCCCATCTTTGGGTAAATCCAGTTTATTGATAGATGTATGATAGATTGAGTGATAATGGTGTGTGATGGCAGGTTATCTGATGAGGATCCCGTTGCCGGAGGTCAGACAGCAGATCTGCGCTTCTGTTATATCCTTCTATAGCCACGACACACACACACACAGCTCTGACGGTGGGTGGCCTGACTGAACTCTTCAAGTGTGGAAACGTTCAGGTTTAGGGGCGGTGTTTATCGTGTGTGTGTGTGTGTGTGTGTGTGTCAGGTGTCTATCCCACGCATGTGGACTACCGAGGGCTGATGGTGGAGCGCAGTGGTCTGGCCGAGACCCTCGTCATGTCACTGGCCCTGATGGAGAACCAGCTGTCAATCAAACTGCGTCTCCTTCAGACCCTGCAGATCCTGTCCAGGACATCAGGTGAACACACACACACACACACACACACACACACCAGAGACCTGTAGAACACACACACACACCAGAGACCTGTAGAACACACACACACACCAGAGACCTGTAGATCTGAAACCTGAATGAAACACGTGCTGGTGTGTGTGTGTGTGTGTGTGTGTTTGTGTTCTCAGAGGGGAACTGTAGAGTAATGCTGAGAGCTCGGGCTGCGCAGAAGATCTGCTTCCACATGAGTGAGTGTGACCCGACCGGACCGGTTCTGTTCCGCTGCTCGGAGATCCTGTGGAACCTCCTGGAGAACGGCTCTCGGGAAGAGCTGACGGCCCAGCTCAGCAACACCGACTGCATCGCGTGAGTCAATATCACATGATCAACCTTCATCAAGAGTTACTGAAGGGCGATTAATGTTCATCAACGTAACAGCACAAATACACAGAAACTAAATGACTGTAATACAATGATTTTCAACCAGCATCAATTAAAAGTGTGAGTTATTTGGCTTTACAGTAATAGGGAGTTCATGGTGTGCTGTAAAAATTTAATTATCATGAAAATGCCTCTTTTTCTAATGTTTTTTCCTTTTGATTTTGGGTTGAGTATGAGCTGAGCATAAACTTTCTCTAGGCAGGTCAAGGTCAGATATGAAAGGGATAGTTCACCCAAAAAGGAAAATTACCTCATGATTTACTCACCCTCAAGTCATCCTAGGTGTATATGACATGCTTCATTCAGACGAATACTTTCCAGCTTTATAATGGCAGTGAATGGCTGTTTCTGTTTTGAAGTCCATAAAGTGCATCCATCATAAAAGTGCATCTATCCATCATCAAAATGCATCTATCCATCATTAAAGTGCATCTATCCATCATTAAAGTGCATCTATCCATCATCAAAGTGCATCTATCCATCATAAAAGTGCATCTATCCATCATTAAAGTGCATCTATCCATCATAAAAGTGCATCTATCCATCATAAAAGTGCATCTATCCATCATAAAAGTGCATCTATCCATCATAAAAGTGCATCTATCCATCATCAAAGTGCATCTATCCATCATTAAAGTGCATCTATCCATCATAAAAGTGCATGTAAGATGCACTTTAATGATGGATAGATGCACTTTTATGATGGATAGATGCACTTTTATGATGGATAGATGCACTTTGATGGATAGATGCACTTTGATGGATAGATGCACTTTTATGATGGACAGATGCACTTTGATGGATAGATGCACTTTTATGATGGATAGATGCACTTTGATGGATAGATGCACTTTTATGATGGATGGATGCACTTTTATGATGGATAGATGCACTTTTATGATGGATAGATGCACTTTTATGATGGATAGATGCACTTTGATGGATAGATGCACTTTTATGATGGATGGATGCACTTTTATGATGGATAGATGCACTTTTATGATGGATAGATGCACTTTTATGATGGATAGATGCACTTTGATGATGGATAGATGCACTTTGATGATGGATAGATGCACTTTAATGATGGATAGATCCACTTTTATGATGGATAGATGCACTTTTATGATGGATAGATGCACTTTAATGATGGATAGATGCACTTTAATGATGGATAGATGCACTTTAATGATGGATAGATGCACTTTAATGATGGATAGACGCACTTTAATGATGGATAGATGCACTTTTATGATGGATAGATGCACTTTTATGATGGATAGATGCACTTTGATGGATAGATGCACTTTTATGATGGATAGATGCACTTTAATGATGGATAGATGCACTTTGATGATGGATAGATGCACTTTAATGATGGATAGATCCACTTTTATGATGGATAGATGCACTTTTATGATGGATAGATGCACTTTAATGATGGATAGATGCACTTTAATGATGGATAGATGCACTTTAATGATGGATAGATGCACTTTAATGATGGATAGACGCACTTTAATGATGGATAGATGCACTTTTATGATGGATAGATGCACTTTTATGATGGATAGATGCACTTTGATGGATAGATGCACTTTTATGATGGATAGATGCACTTTTATGATGGATAGATGCACTTTGATGGATAGATGCACTTTTATGATGGATAGATGCACTTTTATGATGGACAGATGCACTTTGATGGATAGATGCACTTTTATGATGGATAGATGCACTTTGATGGATAGATGCACTTTTATGATGGATGGATGCACTTTTATGATGGATAGATGCACTTTTATGATGGATAGATGCACTTTAATGATGGATAGATGCACTTTGATGATGGATAGATGCACTTTAATGATGGATAGATCCACTTTTATGATGGATAGATGCACTTTTATGATGGATAGATGCACTTTAATGATGGATAGATGCACTTTAATGATGGATAGATGCACTTTAATGATGGATAGATGCACTTTAATGATGGATAGACGCACTTTAATGATGGATAGATGCACTTTTATGATGGATAGATGCACTTTTATGATGGATAGATGCACTTTAATGATGGATAGATGCACTTTAATGATGGATAGACGCACTTTTATGATGGATAGATGCACTTTAATGATGGATAGATGCACTTTAATGATGGATAGATGCACTTTGATGATGGATAGATGCACTTTGATGATGGATAGATGCACTTTTATGATGGATAGATGCACTTTAATGATGGATGGATGCATTTTAATGATGGATAGATGCACTTTAATGATGGATGGATGCATTTTAATGATGGACAGATGCACTTTAATGATGGATAGATGCACTTTGATGGATAGATGCACTTTTATGATGGATAGATGCACTTTAATGATGGATAGATGCACTTTGATGATGGATAGATGCACTATTATGATGGATAGATGCACTTTAATGATGGATAGATGCACTTTAATGATGGACAGATGCACTTTTATGATGGATAGATGGACTTTTATGATGGATAGATGCACTTTTATGATGGATGGATGCACTTTTATGATGGATAGATGCACTTTTATAATGAATAGATGCACTTTATGGACGTTCACTGCCATTATAAAGTTTGGAAGAGCCAGGACATTTTTAATATAACTCTGATTGTATTCGTCTGAGAGAAGAATGTCATATACACCTAGGATGACTTGAGGGCGAGTAAATCATGGGCTAATTTTAATTTTTGGGCGAACTATCCCTTTAATGAGCACATGAGTATCTGAACGCTGCCTCTAAACGATCCTGTGTTTTCTGTTCTGCATGGCAGATCTTTGAAGGAAGCATTTCTCCATCAGCTTCTCAACGGTTTCCGGCATTATGATCGTCAGCTGAGGAACGACCTGCTAGTGTTGCTGTCTCTGATCGCATCGAACCCGAGCGCTCCTCTGATCGTGAGTCCATCGTCCTCGTAAACTCCACAAGCCTCACGCTCTTCTCCACGAGCCTCTCGCTCTTCTCCACGAGCCTCTCGCTCTTCCCCACGAGCCTCTCGCTCTTCCCCACGAGCCTCTAGCTCTTCCCCACGAGCCTCTCGCTCTTCCTCACGAGCCTCTCGCTCTTCCTCACGAGCCTCTCGCTCTTCCTCACAAGCCTCTCGCTCTTCCTCACGAGCCTCTCGCTCTTCCTCACGAGCCTCTCGCTCTTACTCACGAGCCTCTCGCTCTTCCCCACGAGCCTCTCGCTCTTCCTCACGAGCCTCTCGCTCTTCCTCACGAGCCTCTCGCTCTTCCTCACGAGCCTCCCGCTCTTCCTCACGAGCCTCTCGCTCTTCTCCACGAGCCTCTCGCTCTTCCCCACGAGCCTCTCGCTCTTCTCCACGAGCCTCTCGCTCTTCTCCACGAGCCTCTCGCTCTTCCTCACGAGCCTCTCGCTCTTCGCCACGAGCCTCTCGCTCTTCTCCACGAGCCTCTCGCTCTTCCCCACGAGCCTCTCGCTCTTCCTCACGAGCCTCTCGCTCTTACTCACGAGCCTCTCGCTCTTCCCCACGAGCTTCTCGCTCTTCCTCACGAGCCTCTCGCTCTTCCTCACGAGCCTCTCGCTCTTCTCCACGAGCCTCTCGCTCTTCCCCACGAGCCTCTCGCTCTTCCTCACGAGCCTCTCGCTCTTCTCCACGAGCCTCTCGCTCTTCTCCACGAGCTTCTCGCTCTTCCTCACGAGCCTCTCGCTCTTCCCCACGACCCTCTCGCTCTTCTCCACGAGCCTCTCGCTCTTCGCCACGAGCCTCTCGCTCTTCTCCACGAGCCTCTCGCTCTTCCTCACGAGCCTCTCGCTCTTCCCCACGAGCCTCTCGCTCTTCTCGCTCTTCTCCACGAGCCTCTCGCTCTTCCTCACGAGCCTCTCGCTCTTCCTCACGAGCCTCTCGCTCTTCCTCACGAGCCTCTCGCTCTTCTCCACGAGCTTCTCGCTCTTCCTCACGAGCCTCTCGCTCTTCCTCACGAGCCTCTCGCTCTTCTCCACGAGCTTCTCGCTCTTCTCCACGAGCTTCTCGCTCTTCCTCACGAGCCTCTCGCTCTTCCCCACGAGCCTCTCGCTCTTCTCCACGAGCTTCTCGCTCTTCTCCACGAGCTTCTCGCTCTTCTCCACGAGCTTCTCGCTCTTCTCCACGAGCTTCTCGCTCTTCTCCACGAGCTTCTCGCTCTTCTCCACGAGCTTCTCGCTCTTCCTCACGAGCCTCTCGCTCTTCTCCACGAGCTTTTCGCTCTTCGCCACGAGCTTCTCGCTCTTCCTCACGAGCCTCTCGCTCTTCCTCACGAGCCTCTCGCTCTTCCCCACGAGCCTCTCGCTCTTCCTCACGAGCCTCTCGCTCTTCTCGCTCTTCTCCACGAGCCTCTCGCTCTTCTCGCTCTTCTCCACGAGCCTCTCGCTCTTCCTCACGAGCCTCTCGCTCTTACTCACGAGCCTCTCGCTCTTCTCCACGAGCTTCTCGCTCTTCTCCACGAGCTTCTCGCTCTTCCTCACGAGCCTCTCGCTCTTCTCCACGAGCTTCTCGCTCTTCCCCACGAGCCTCTCGCTCTTCCTCACGAGCCTCTCGCTCTTCTCCACGAGCCTCTCGCTCTTCTCCACGAGCTTCTCGCTCTTCCTCACGAGCCTCTCGCTCTTCCTCACGAGCCTCTCGCTCTTCTCCACGAGCCTCTCGCTCTTCTCCACGAGCTTATCGCTCTTCCTCACGAGCCTCTCGCTCTTCCTCACGAGCCTCTCGCTCTTCCCCACGAGCCTCTCGCTCTTCCCCACGAGCCTCTCGCTCTTCCTCACGAGCCTCTCGCTCTTCCTCACGAGCCTCTCGCTCTTCCTCACGAGCCTCTCGCTCTTCCTCACGAGCCTCTCGCGCTTCACCACGAGCCTCTCGCTCTTCCCCACGAACCTCTCGCTCTTCCCCACGAGCCTCTCGCTCTTCCCCACGAGCCTCTCGCTCTTCCTCACGAGCCTCTCGCTCTTCTCCACGAGCCTCTCGCTCTTCCTCACGAGCCTCTCGCTCTTCGCCACGAGCCTCTCGCTCTTCCTCACGAGCCTTTCGCTCTTCCTCACGAGCCTCTCGCTCTTCCCCACGAGCCTCTCGCTCTTCTCCACGAGCCTCTCGCTCTTCCCCACGAGCCTCTCGCTCTTCCTCACGAGCCTCTCGCTCTTCCTCACGAGCCTCTCGCTCTTCCTCACGAGCCTCTCGCTCTTCCTCACGAGCCTCTCGCTCTTCCTCACGAGCCTCTCGCGCTTCACCACGAGCCTCTCGCTCTTCCCCACGAGCCTCTCGCTCTTCCTCACGAGCCTCTCGCTCTTCCTCACGAGCCTCTCGCTCTTCGCCACGAGCCTCTCGCTCTTCCTCACGAGCCTCTCGCTCTTCCCCACGAGCCTCTCGCTCTTCCTCACGAGCCTCTCGCTCTTCCTCACGAGCCTCTCGCTCTTCCTCACGAGCCTCTCGCTCTTCCTCACGAGCCTCTCGCTCTTCCTCACGAGCCTCTCGCGCTTCACCACGAGCCTCTCGCTCTTCCCCACGAGCCTCTCGCTCTTCCTCACGAGCCTCTCGCTCTTCCTCACGAGCCTCGCGCTTTTCGCCACGAGCCTCTCGCTTTTCGCCACGAGCCTCTCGCTCTTCCTCACGAGCCTTTCGCTCTTCCTCACGAGCCTCTCGCTCTTCTCCACGAGCCTCTCGCTCTTCTCCACGAGCCTCTCGCTCTTCCTCACGAGTTCTCTGTTTGTTTCAGGAGAGCGGGTTTGTCAAGCATCTCACGCTGTTTGTCACGTTCCCTGAGCGTAAGTATTGGTGTTTTTCATTAGCGTTTGTTCATCTCTGTGACCTCGAATGAAGATCTGTGACTGTGTTTCTCAGTGAAGAGTCACAATCCTCTGGTGCGAAACCTCAAGCTGTCCTTCAACCACGAGGACTTCGAGATGAAGAAGCTCTTGTTGAATGTGATCGTCGTCCTGTCGAGAGATCTGGCTGCCCTGCAGGTGACACACACACACACACACACACGCTCACACACACACAACAGCTCTCACACACACAACAGCTCACACACACAACAGCTCTTGAAACTGACTGTGTGTGTGTGGTGACCAGCTGTTTAAGGAGGGCCGGGTGATGCTGGGCCTGATATGTGTGTGTGTGTGTGTGTGTGTGTGTGTGTGTGTGAGAGCAGCTGTTTAGGGAGGGCCGGGTGATGCTGGGCCTGATGCTCCTGATTAAGCCCCGGGCCCCGGAGCCCCGGAGCAGGTGCAGTTGGACCCCCGGCCAGCAGGAGGAGCTGCAGCTGCAGGCGTTAGCGTGTCTGATCTCTCTGGCTCCGCTGATGCTGGACGACTACATGACGTGTCAGGGGAACACACTCCTGCTGCTGCTGCTCGACTGGTGTCTTCAGGAAGGTGCCAGCACACTATATAAGCTATGTATCCACTATCTATATCCACTATCTACATCCACTATCTACATCCACTATCTATATCCACTATCTATATCCACATTAGGGGTCCTTTATGCCCTTTTACAAACTCTTGATTTTGTTTTAAGGTGTACTGGAATATGCTTTCATGCTTGATTGTTCAAAAAACACATTATTTTTCACATATTTTACATTATTACAGCACCTATCTCCCCAGTCTGGCTCGAACGGGCCGTGTAGTTCCTGTTTCGATGATTATAAATACTCTGATTCAGTACAGATACTGGAAAGATGTACTTTGTGCTGATCGGTCTCTTCATGGTTCTGTGGTCAGACTCCTTCAGTGGGCGGGGCCACAGTTTCCATGGCAGCGGTGGGCGGGGCGGGAAGAAGGCCCAGATGAGGTACTGTGTCCGAGTGCTCAGATCCGTGGTTTCCCTGGACCTCGAGGCGCTCCGGCAGGATCTGTGCGATCAGGGGGCGATCGGGCAGCTTCTGGGTGAGTGTGTGTGTGTGTGTGTGTGTGTGTGTGTGAGAGAGAGAGTGTGTGTGGCGTATCACAGCGCTCACTGCTGAAATACTGAAGACTAACTCTGTGTGTGTGTGTGTGTGTGTGTGTTAGGGGTGCTGCGCTGGTTCATAGGGAGACCGGAAGCCGAGGATGCCGTGTCTCTGGAGATTCAGATCGACTCCCAGTTCATTCTGTCTGACCTCTGTGAGGGAGACATGCACAGGAAGGTGAGACACATCATACAGATGATACGATCGAGAAGACTTAACTAGCACTGGTTAAACGAGTACACCTCTGTGTTCAGGAGTTGTTCGGCAGTGACGGTGTGGAGATGCTGATTCAGTATTTGAGTTTGGACGCTGCTCTGATCTACAGCGGTTTGGGTCATAATAAACTGCTGCTGTCCACCGTTGACTGCGTTTGGTGAGACGCGTGTTCTATTTCTCTGTGGGAAACTCGCTGTGAATGCGAGATGAAGGTTTTCCACATCCGGAAAGTATTTACAGCGCTTCACTTTTTCCACATTTTGTTATGTTACAGCATTATTCCAAAATAGATTAAATTAATTATTTTCCTCAAAATTCTACAAACAATACCCCATAATGACAACGTGAAAGAAATTAGTTTAAAATCTGTTTCAAATTTATTAAAAATAAAAAAACGAAAAAATCACATATACATAAGTATTCACAGCCTTTGCCATGACACTCAAAATTTAGCTCAAGTGCATCCTGGTTCCACTGATCATCCTTGAGATGTTTCTACAACTGGATTGGAGTCCACCTGTGGTAAATTCAGTTGATTGGACATGATTTGGAAAGGCACACACCTGTCTATATAAGGTCCAACAGTTAACAGTGTATGTCAGAGCACAAACCAAGCCATGAAGTCCAAGGCATTGTCTGTAGACCTCCGAGACAGGATTGTATCGAGCCACAGATCTGGGAAAGGGTGCAGAAACATTTCTGCAGCATTGAAGGTCCCCATGAGCACAGTGGCCTCCATCATCCATAAACGGAAGAAGTGTGGAACCCCCAGGACTCTTCCTAGAGCTGTATACTGTATACTTTATTATTGTCCCCTTAGGGAAATTTGTCTTGGGCACAGTGTATGCTGCATTTCCAGAATAAGAATAAGACATTAAAAAGAAAAAAGAAATACAATTAAAAAAAAAAAATCTAAATCAATCACAGAATGGATCAATCTGAATAAAAGTTATAATATAGAGCAATAGATACTGTTAAGTAATCATTCCAAACCAGAGACAATCATAGGCCTTTGTCCTTCTCATGCAAAAGTCCAATAGAAATGGGAACAAAAGAGTTTTTCAAAAGAGCTGAGCGATCGGGGGAGAAGGGCCTCAGTCAGGCAGGAGACCAAGAACCCAATGGTCACTCTGGCAGAGCTCTCTCTGTGGAGAGAGGAAAACCTTGCAGAAGAACAACCATCTCTGCAGCTCTCCACCAATCAGGCCTGAGAACCTTCCAGAAGAACAACCATCTCTGCAGCTCTCCACCAATCAGGCCCGAGAACCCTCTAGAACATAGGTTCTCAAAGTGCGGCCCGCGGGCCAATGGCGGCCCACCGAAACATTTCGTATTAACATTTGTAAAACTGTTAAAACTATTGCTTTGAAAAAATGAATATCTCCGTTTAGTGGTGTTTAGCGGCATCTATAGGCATAAGCGGTAATTACATGGTCCGACCGACCGATCGCACTTGACCTCACTCCCAAGGCCACCAGGAACAGGTTGTCTACACAGGAATAGGAATCGTGGCCAACCGAAACCAGCACCACAAATCCCATTGCAATTTAAAAGGGTATGTTAACCAAGTAATCAATATTCAACGTGACTTAATAATAATCTTAACAATGTCAAGCTTATTAATAGCCGCGTTTCCATACCTTTCAAAATGTTCGCGGGCGCGAACACTTGCATTTTCCTATCAACAGTGGAAACAACTTAAACTAGTCTATCATTTCTGGTCATACAGAAAATAATAATGCATTATTCGCAACTACTTTTATTTGTGTAAACTCATAACAAGAAAACGTGCTTTTGTAAAATAAAATAAAACAATCAGTAGCCTAGGCTACTACGCGCTTTCATGATCTCCGTGAACTGGAGCGCGAGAACTGAAACAAAATATAGCCGTAGGCTAAAGCTTAAAATGTGCACTTTTAAACAAACAAACTCGAATCGAAAGCAAATACCTGATTATGTAATCCGTATGAAAGGTGGATTTCTCTCTAAAAGCGCATCTGCTTAACAGCGGAGATGGAGATATGTTTTTAGCCGACACTTAGAAAACAATAGTTTATTAATAAACAATTAAAATGCCTCGCTGTTTTTTTCAGACGCATTTATTATCATGAGCCTATAACTCACCTATAAATCAGGCTAGATCAGACACAGGCCATATGGCTCTTCTCATTCATCACTGCGGGAAAAATATAAATTCCAGGTTCTAATTTGGCCTTAGAAAACCAGTAAAATCGACATGTTTTCCATATTAATTTGTGAATATTTAAAATGTTTAATAAAGGGGCAAAAAGTCATTTAAACAAAAATCTGAAAAAGTCTGTCGATATTTACTTTTTTTGCGCAGCAGTTGGTGTAGCCAGTTCAAATTAAAATTGTGTTCAACTTTGCGTTTTAAAAAGACAACAACCGTTTATTTTTCGTTTTTCAGTTACGGGTTAAAAAAGATAGATAATAATATGCAAATCTGCAATAATGGAAACGCGACTGACAAGCAATGATAGATATGAATGATGATGATGACTTGTTTGGTAAGCTTCTATTTTAAAAGTTTCTTTCTCTCCCCCCCCCAAAAATTTTCACAAGTTTTGCCAGGTTTAGCCTCAGTTATGAATTAAAATGTGTTTATTGCAACTAATGTAACCTGGTCCTTAAAATAATTTTCTTTTCAGTTTTTTTTTCTTCGTTTTCTCCCCCGCCCCTTTGGCGGCCCTCAGTTCAATGTTGGGTTCCTAAATTGGCCCTCACCTATCAAAACTTTGAGAACCCCTGCTCTAGAATAACAACCATCTCTGCAGCTCTCCACTAATCAGGCCTGAGAACGTTCCAGAAGAACAACCATCTCTACAGCTCTCCACCAATCAGGCCCGCAGAACTCCACCAATCAGGCCCGAGAACCTTCCAGAAGAACAACCATCTCTACAGCTCTCCACCAATCAGGCCCGCAGAACTCCACCAATCAGGCCCGAGAACCTTCCAGAAGAACAACCATCTCTGCAGCTCTCCACCAATCAGGGCCGAGAACCTTCCAGAAGAACAACCATCTCTGCAGAACTCCACCAATCAGGCCTGAGAACCTTCCAGAAGAACAACCATCTCTGCAGAACTCCACCAATCAGGCCTGAGAACCTTCCAAAAGAACCACCATCTCTGCAGCTCTCCACCAATCAGGCCTGAGAACCTTCCAGAAGAACAACCATCTCTCCAGCTCTCCACCAATCAGGCCTGAGAACCTTCCAGAAGAACAACCATCTCTGCAGCTCTCCACCAATCAGGCCCGAGAACCTTCCAGAAGAACAACCATCTCTGCAGCTCTCCACCAATCAGGCCTGAGAACCTTCCAGAATGACAACCATCTCTGCAGCTCTCCACCAATTAGGCCTGAGAACCTTCGAGAAGAACAACCATCTCTGCAGCTCTCCACCAATCAGGCCCGCAGAACTCCGCCAATCAGGCCCGAGAACCTTCCAGAAGAACAACCATCCAGAAGAACAACCATCTCTGCAGCTCTCCACCAATCAGGCCCGAGAACCTTCCAGAATAACAACCATCTCTGCAGCTCTCCACCAATCGGACCTGAGAACCTTCCAGAAGAACAACCATGTCTGCAGCTCTCCACCAATCGGACCTGAGAACCTTCCAGAAGAACAACCATCTCTGCAGCTCTCCACCAATCGGACCTGAGAACCTTCCAGAAGAACAACCATCTCTCCAGCTCTCCACCAATCAGGCCCGAGAACCTTCCAGAAGACCAACCATCTCTGCAGCTCTCCGCCAATCAGGCCCAAGAACCTTCCAGAAGAACAACCATCTCTGCAGCTCTCCACCAATTAGGCCTGAGAACCTTCCAGAAGAACAACCATCTCTGCAGCTCTCCACCAATCAGGCCCGAGAACCTTCCAGAAGAACAACCATCTCTGCAGCTCTCCACCAATTAGACCTGAGAACCTTCCAGAAGAACAACCATATCTGCAGCTCTCCACCAATCAGGCCTGAGAACCTTCCAGAAGAACAACCATCTCTCCAGCTCTCCACCAATCAGGCCTGAGAACCTTCCAGAAGAACAACCATCTCTCCAGCTCTCCACCAATCAGGCCTGAGAACCTTCCAGAAGAACCACCATCTCTGCAGCTCTCCACCTATCAGGCCCGAGAACCTTCCAGAAGAACAACCATCTCTCCAGCTCTCCACCAATCAGGCCTGAGAATCTTCCAGAAGAACAACCATCTCTGCAGCTCTCCACCAATCAGGCCCGAGAACCTTCCAGAAGTCAAGTCAAGTCAAGTCACATTTATTTATATAGCGCTTTTCACAATACAGATTGCATCAAAGCAGCTTCACAGTGATAACATGAAAGTAGTACAACACAGTTCAATAATATTGTTGAATATTAAATATCCCCAACTAAGCAAGCCAAAAGCAAGGCGACAGTGGCAAGGAACCAAAACTCCATCAGATTGGATGGAGAAAAAAACCTTGGGAGAACCCAGGCTAGTCAGGGGCCAGTTCTCCTCTGGCTAACAATCATAGCTTTACAGTAAGTCCATATCAGAGAGTACCTGGAAAAAATACATTTAGTTAATCATGTAATATTTAGGGGATAACATATCGCCGGCGTTGAGTCGTCTCTTCGCAGGCGTTGAGTCGTCTCTTCACAGGCGTTGGTCTTCTCATCACAGGCGTTGAGGCATCCGAAATCCCCGTGAGAGGCAGGATACCAAACTGGAGCCTACGAACGCCATTTTTCTCGGGACAAGCGTCCCGAGATAACAGCAGAAAGGCAGATGGGAAATAATTAGCATAGCTGATGTTCATAATGATTTCCATTACACGGGAGTAGGTGTTAGAAAACCATAATCTCACAACTCTCCGTAACCCAAACTCTCCGCAACCATACGGACCGACCCGTTTGTCTATAAGGCTGTCGAGCCCCACTGGTGCGTTAAGCAGTTTCAGTGGCAAACGGTTCCGTATGGCATAGCAGAGGACTAAAAGGTAAGCATTATGTGAATGCTTGACTAAAGAGACACGTCTTTAGTCTAGTTTTAAACTGTGTCAGCGAGTCAGAGCATCGGACCGTATCGGGAAGGCTATTCCAGAGTTTTGGAGCTAAATGCGAGAATGCCCTCCCTCCTTTCGTGGACTTCGATATCCTAGGAATGACCAGAAGCCTTGAATTTAGTGATCTTAGAGAACGCGGTGGATTGTAGGGCGAAAGAAGGTCCGTTAAGTACATAGGAGCTAAACCATTAAGGGCTTTATAGGTCAGTAGTAGTACTTTGTAATTGATACGGAACTTAATAGGTAACCAGTGCAGAGATGATAAAATCGGTGTTATATGATCATATTTTCTTGATCTAGTAAGAACTCTAGCGGCTGCATTTTGCACTAACTGTAGCTTGTTTATTGAGGATGCAGGACAACCAGCTAATAAAGCATTACAGTAATCTAGTCTCGAGGTCATGAATGCATGAACTAACTTTTCTGCATCAGAAACAGATAGCATGTTACGTAATTTAGCAATGTTTCTAAGGTGGAAAAAGGCTGTTCTTGTAACAGATGAAATATGATTTTCGAAAGACAAGTTGCGGTCTAGTATAACACCCAGGTCTTTTACTGTAGTGGAAAAAGTAACAGGGCATCCTTCTATATTAAAGTCGTATTGTAAGAGGTTTTGTGTGTAGTTTTTTGGACCAATAAGTAATACCTCCGTTTTATCTGAATTTAATAGCAGGAAATTACGCTATTAAATAATAGAAGAAACACCATCACCAGAAGAACAACCATCTCTCCAGCTCTCCACCAATCAGGCCTGAGAACCTTCCAGAAGAACAACCATCTCTCCAGCTCTCCACCAATCAGGCCTGAGAACCTTCCAGAAGAACCACCATCTCTGCAGCTCTCCACCAATCAGGCCCGAGAACCTTCCAGAAGAACAACCATCTCTCCAGCTCTCCACCAATCAGGCCTGAGAATCTTCCAGAAGAACAACCATCTCTGCAGCTCTCCACCAATTAGGCCTGAGAACCTTCCAGAAGAACAACCATCTCTGCAGCTCTCCACCAATTAGGCCTGAGAATCTTCCAGAAGAACAACCATCTCTGCAGCTCTCCACCAATCAGGCCCGAGAACCTTCCAGAAGAAACACCATCTCTGCAGCTCTCCACCAATTAGACCTGAGAACCTTCCAGAAGAACAACCATCTCTGCAGCTCTCCACCAATCAGGCCTGAGAACCTTCCAGAAGAACAACCATCTCTCCAGCTCTCCACCAATCAGGCCTGAGAACCTTCCAGAAGAACAACCATCTCTGCAGCTCTCCACCAATCAGGCCTGAGAACCTTCCAGAAGAACAACCATCTCTCCAGCTCTCCACCAATCAGGCCTGAGAACCTTCCAGAAGAACAACCATCTCTGCAGCTCTCCACCAATTAGGCCTGAGAACCTTCCAGAAAAACAACCATCTCTGCAGCTCTCCACCAATCAGACCTGAGAACCTTCCAGAAGAACCACCATCTCTTCAGCTCTCCACCAATCAGACCAAAGGCACCTGAAGGACTCTCAGACCATGAGAAACAAAATTCTCTGGTCTGATGAAACAAAGTCTGGCCTGAATGTTGGCCTGAACTCTTTTGGCCTGGCAAGCGTCATGTCTAGAGGAAACAGACACCACTCATCAACTGGCCAATACCATCCCTACAGTGAAGCAGCATCAGCTGTGGGGGTATTTTTCAGCGCAGGAACTGGGAGACTCGTCAGGATCGAGGGAAAGATGAGGAACTGGGAGACTCGTCAAGGTCGAGGAAAAGATGAGGAACTGGGAGACTCGTCAGGGTCGAGGGAAAGATGAGGAACTGAGAGACTCGTCAGGGTCAAGGAAAAGATGAGGAACTGGGAGACTCGTCAGGGTCGAGGGAAAGATGAGGATCTGGGAGACTCGTCAGGATCAAGGGAAAGATGAGGGACTGGGAGACTCGTCAGGATCGAGGGAAAGATGAGGAACTGGGAGACTCGTCAGGATCGAGGAAAAGATGAGGAACTGGGAGACTAGTCAGGATCGAGGGAAAGATGAGGAACTGGGAGACTAGTCAGGATCGAGGGAAAGATGAGGAACTGGAAGACTCGTCAGGATCGAGGGAAAGATGAGGAACTGGGAGACTCGTCAGGATCAAGGGAAAGATGAGGAACTGGGAGACTCGTCAGGATCGAGGGAAAGATGAGGAACTGGGAGACTAGTCAGGATCGAGGGAAAGATGAGGAACTGGAAGACTCGTCAGGATCGAGGGAAAGATGAGGAACTGGGAGACTAGTCAGGATCAAGGGAAAGATGAGGAACTGGGAGACTCGTCAGGATCGAAGGGAAAGATGAGGAACTGGGAGACTCGTCAGGATCGAGGGAAAGATGAGGAACTGGGAGACTAGTCAGGATCGAGGGAAAGATGAGGAACTGGAAGACTCGTCAGGATCGAGGGAAAGATGAGGAACTGGGAGACTAGTCAGGATCAAGGGAAAGATGAGGAACTGGGAGACTCGTCAGGATCGAGGGAAAGATGAGGAACTGGGAGACTCGTCAGAATCGAGGGAAAGATGAGGAACTGGGAGACTAGTCAGGATCGAGGGAAAGATGAGGAACTGGAAGACTCGTCAGGATCAAGGGAAAGATGAAGGACTGGGAGACTCGTCAAGGTCGAGGAAAAGATGAGGAACTGGGAGACTTGTCAGGGTCGAGGAAAAGATGAGGAACTGGGAGACTCGTCAGGATCAAGGGAAAGATGAAGGACTGGGAGACTCGTCAGGATCGAGGGAAAAATAAATGTAGACATCCTTGATGAAAACCTGCTCCAGAGCTCTGGACCTCAGACTGGGGTGACGGTTCATCTTCCAACAGGACAATGACCCTAAGCACACAGCCAAGATAACAAACGACCCTCAGCACACAGCCAAGATAACAGAGGAGTGTCTACGGGACAGCTCTGTGAATGTCTTTGAGTGACCCAGCCAGAGTCCAGACTCAAACCCGATTGAACATCTCTGGAGAGATCTGAAAATGGCTGTGCACCGACGCTCCACATCCAACCTGATGGAGCTTGAGAGGTTCTGCAAAGAAGAATGGGAGAAACTGCCCAAAAATAGATGTGCCAAGCTTGTATTATCATACTCAAAGAGACTTGAGGCTGTAATTGGTGCCAAAGGTGCTTCAACAAAGTATTGAGCAAAGTATTGGACATTTTTTTATCCATTTTGGAATAAGGCTGTAACATAACAAAATGTGGAAAAAGTGAAGTGCTGTGAATACTTTCTGGATGCACTGTAAATGCAGGGAAAAGCTCCTCGCATTTACTTCATGCCAAATATGATTTCTTCTCTTCTGTGCAGGTCATGTGTTGTGGGCTGTTTCGGGACGGAGGACATGTTTGTTGCGGGAGGTGGAGTTGATCTGCTCCTTCAGCGGCTGCAGGTGCAAACATTTGTGTGTTCGACTGGCGTGTGTGTTTCGACTGGCGTGTGTGTTTCGACTGGCATGTGTGTTTCGACTGGCGTGATAAGGGTGCTCTGATTGATCGGTCGCCGATCATAATCGGCCGATAATTGCTTTGGGATGTGTGATCGGCGGTCTCTATAAAGGCCGATCCAGAAAAGCCGATCAGATGACGCAAAACTCGCGAGACAATTTTTTTACACCCTGGTAAAAATGGCTTCACCGGTCTGGCAATTCTACAACAGGGCTCTCAAGTGTCAACCATTGAGCGTGACAGTCACTCATTTTGGTCTTTTGTCACGCTCTCCTGCCACACATTGTATTTCTCACGCTGAAAAACTATTTGTAATATATTTAATATGCCGCAGCGGCCAAAACTCTGGCCGCGCCGCTCTCACTGTGGAACCGGCATGAATCAAGCGCGTTTCCTCTGGTGTTGTTCGTCGAGCTACACAATAGCCAATCAGAAAATAGCACTATTGTATCTGGGTAAGATTTAAGGCAACAACCAATGACAAAAATGTATCCAACCCACACCCCCCCTCCCCGTGCGTCCGTCAAATCACTCGTACATATTTTTTTCTCTCATCAAAACTGAATATGTTCATCTGCGGTTACAGTTATATCAAGCAAGGATACGTTTGTGTTTTATTTTGTGTTTACACCGGAATGAATAGAGTCCGCAGCGGCGATAGATTGAAGCGCGCGTCCGAGTGAAGACTGCGAGTGAAGACTGCGCGAGACACAGAGCACTGTATCCATGCAACTGATCGCCGCGGCAACGAGCGCGCAGCTTGAGTTCAAAAACACATTTTAGCGCTAGATTTCTTATTTAATATTGAACTAAATTAATGATCTGCTAGTTAACTGAAGATGTTTTATTTATTTATATTAGCTACATGGTGGGACAGACTTCACTGGATCTAAAAAAAAACAATCTAACCATAGATGTGACCAGTAGTGGTGGCTTTCTTAATCTGTTTAAAATAATTTTGCAAGGGTTCTTCACACACACACACACACACACACACACACACACACACACACACACACACACACACACACACACACACACACACACACACACAAAGGTTTCTCTACCTCTCTCTTCCTCTCTAATGCCCACAAAATCTGACAATGCATCCCAGAAAAAGCTAAGTTATAGATACAGATATGGAAGTTGCTAGTTTTTTTTTGTTGCTGTGCACTTTACTACCTGTGGTCCTTTAAGTGTATTAGAAAAACTGATGGCTGACTGACTCAAAACATTATTTTGGCTATAGCCTTTTTTGTTGCTGTTTTTAGTTTAAAGTAGTCTAAAGCTTAATTTAAAGACTCAGATGTTCTGTCTTAATAATTTTATTTTATATTCTACAGGAAAGTTGTATGTCAAGCCCTAAGCTGCTCCCAATAACCAAGCTGCTATGTTAATACATATTGCTTGCAAATAAATACACAGGTGTCAATTCATTATGCATTGTCTTCTCTTAAATGTAATACTTAATGTACATTGTTGTTAAATATAGTTTAATAAGTAAATGATAAAAATAAGTCTTCAAATAGACCCTGTAATCGGTGATCGGTATCGGTATCGGGTGATACAGCTTCCAGTAATCGGCGATCGGTGATCGGCCCCAAAAATCCTGATCGGAGCACCCCTAGTTTCGACTGGCGTGTGTGTTTCGACTGGCGTGTGTGTTTCGACTGGCGTGTGTGTTTCGACTGGCGTGTGTGTGTTTCGACTGGCGTGTGTGTGTGTTTCGACTGGCGTGTGTGTTTCGACTGGTGTGTGTGTGTTTCGACTGGCGTGTGTGTGTTTCGACTGGCGTGTGTTTCGACTGCCGTGTGTTCAACTGGCGTGTGTTCAGACTGGCGTGTGTTTCAACTGGTGTGTGTTTCGAATGGCGTGTGTGGCATGTGTTCGACTGGCGTGTGTGTTCGACTGGCGTGTGTGTTTCGACTGGCGTGCGTGTTCGACTGGCGTGCGTGTTCGACTGGCGTGCGTGTTCGACTGGCGTGCGTGTTCGACTGGCGTGTGTGTTTCGACTGGCGTGTGTGTTTCGACTGGCGTGTGTGTTTCGACTGGCGTGCGTGTTCGACTGGCGTGCGTGTTCGACTGGCGTGCGTGTTCGACTGGCGTGTGTGTTCGACTGGCGTGTGTGTTTCGACTGGCGTGCGTGTTCGACTGGCGTGTGTGTTCGACTGGCGTGTGTGTTCGACTGGCGTGTGTGTTCGACTGGCGTGTGTGTTTCGACTGGCGTGCGTGTTCGACTGGCGTGCGTGTTCGACTGGCGTGCGTGTTCGACTGGCGTGTGTGTTTCGACTGGCGTGTGTGTTTCGACTGGCGTGTGTGTGTGTTTCGACTGGCGTGTGTGGCATGTGTTCGACTGGCGTGTGTGTTTCGACTGGCGTGTGTGTTTCGACTGGCGTGTGTGTTTCGACTGGCGTGTGTGTGTGTTTCGACTGGCGTGTGTGGCATGTGTTCGACTGGCGTGTGTGGCATGTGTTCGACTGGCGTGTGTTCGAATGGCGTGTGTTCGACTGGCGTGTGTTTCGACTGGTGTGTGTTCGACTGGCATGTGTTCGACTGGCGTGTGTTCGACTGGCGTGTGTTCGACTGGTGTGTGTTCGACTGGTGTGTGTGGCGTGTGTTCCACTGGTGTGTGTGGCGTGTGTTCGACTGGCGTGTTTTCGACTGGTGTGTGTGGCATGTGTTCCACTGGTGTGTGTGGCGTGTGTTCGACTGGCGTGTGTTCAACTGGTGTGTGTGGCGTATGTTTTGACTGGCGTGTGTTTCGACTGGCGTGTGTTTCGACTGGCGTGTGTTCAACTGGCATGTGTGGCGTGTCTTCGATGGGCGTGTGTGGCGTGTGTTCGACTGGCGTGTGTGGCGTGTGTTCGACTGGTGTGTGTGGCGTGTGTTCGACTGGCATGTGTGGCGTGTGTTCGACTGGCATGTGTTCGACTGGCGTGTGTGTTCGACTGGCGTGTGTTCGACTGGCGTGTGTTCGACTGGCATGTGTTCGACTGGCGTGTGTGTTCGACTGGCGTGTGTTCGACTGGCGTGTGTTCGACTGGCGTGTGTTTCGACTGGCGTGTGTTTCGAATGGCGTGTGTGTTCGACTGGCGTGTGTTCGACTGGTGTGTGTTTCGACTGGTGTGTGTGGCGTGTGTTCGACTGGTGTGTATGGCGTGTGTTCGACTGGCGTGTGTTCGACTGGTGTGTGTTTCGACTGGTGTGTGTGGCGTGTGTTCGACTGGTGTGTATGGCGTGTGTTCGACTGGCGTGTGTTCGACTGGTGTGTGTGGCGTGTGTTCCACTGGTGTGTCTGGCGTGTGTTCGACTGGCGTGTGTTCAACTGGTGTGTGTGGCGTATGTTCGACTGGCGTGTGTTTCGACTGGCGTGTGTTCGACTGGCATGTGTGGCGTGTGTTCGACTGGCGTGTGTGGCGTGTGTTCGACTGGTGTGTATGGCGTGTGTTCGACTGGCGTGTGTTCGACTGGTGTGTGTTTCGACTGGTGTGTGTGGCGTGTGTTCGACTGGTGTGTATGGCGTGTGTTCGACTGGCGTGTGTTCGACTGGTGTGTGTGGCGTGTGTTCCACTGGTGTGTCTGGCGTGTGTTCGACTGGCGTGTGTTCAACTGGTGTGTGTGGCGTATGTTCGACTGGCGTGTGTTTCGACTGGCGTGTGTTTGACTGGCATGTGTGGCGTGTGTTCGACTGGCGTGTGTGGCGTGTGTTCGACTGGCATGTGTGGCGTGTGTTCGACTGGCATGTGTGGCGTGTGTTCGACTGGCATTTGTGGCGTGTGTTCGACTGGCATGTGTGGCGTGTGTTCGACTGGCGTGTGTGGCGTGTGTTCGACTGGCATATGTGGCGTGTTCGACTGGCATGTGTGGCGTGTGTTCGACTGGCATGTGTGGCCTGTGTTCGACTGGCGTGTGTTCGACTGGCGTGTGTGGCGTGTGTTCGACTGGTGTGTGTGGCGTGTGTTCGACTGGCATGTGTGGCGTGTGTTCGACTGGCGTGTGTTCGACTGGCGTGTGGCTCGACTGGCATGTGTGGCGTGTGTTCGACTGGCGTGTGTTCGACTGCTGTGTGTGGCGTGTGTTTCGACTGGGGTGTGTTTGACTGGCATGTGTGTTCGACTGGCGTGTGTGGTGTGTGTTCGACTGGCGTGTGGCGTGTGTTCGACTGGCGTGTGGCGTGTTGTTCGACTGGCGTGTGTTCGACTGGCATGTGTGTTCGACTGGCGTGTGTGGTGTGTGTTCGACTGGCGTGTGGCGTGTTGTTCGACTGGCGTGTGTTCGACTGACTTGTACTGGCATGTGTGGCGTGTGTTGCGTGTGTTCAACTGGCGTGTGTTCGACTGGCGTGTGTTTGACCACATGTGTGATGTGCAGCGGAGCCCCAGACACATGCTGATTGCGCTCATCGGGACTCTGCTGGAGCTGTGTGAGAGTCAGCGGGCCGTCACGCGTGTGCAGTGCTGGCGTGGCGAGAGAGACGTCACTGCGCCGCAGCTCCTGTTGCAGATCTGGAGGAGCGAGGAGGAGGAGACGGGCATAACACGAGACCGGCACGGGGTGATTGCAGGTACGGACACATCAGTCAGTCAGTCAGTCAGTCAGTGTGTTCATTTACACAGATCCAGTGTGTTCATTTACACAGATCAAGTGTAATGTGTTCATTTACACAGATCCAGTGTGTTGTGTTCATTTACACAGATCCAGTGCGTTCATTTACACAGATCCAGTGTGTTGTGTTCATTTACACAGATCCAGTGTGTTGTGTTCATTTACACAGATCCAGTGTGTTCATTTACACCGATCCAGTGCGTTCATTTACACAAAATCAGTGCGTTCATTTACACAGATACAGTGTGTTCATTTACACAGATCCAGTGTGTTCATTTACACAGATCCAGCGTGTTCATTTACACAGATCCAGCGCGTTCATTTACACAGATCCAGTGCGTTCATTTACACAGATCCAGTGTGTTCATTTACACAGATCCAGTGCGTTCATTTACACCGATCCAGTACGTTCATTTACACCGATCCAGTGCGTTCATTTACACAGATCCAGTGTGTTCATTTACACAGATCCAGTGCGTTCATTTTCACCGATCCAGTGCGTTCATTTACACAGATCCAGTGTGTTCATTTACACCGATCCAGTGTGTTCATTTACACAGATCCAGTGCGTTCATTTACACAGATCCAGTGTGTTCATTTACACAGATCCAGTGTGTTCATTTACACAGATCCAGTGTGTTCATTTACACAGATCCAGTGCGTTCATTTACACAGATCCAGTGCGTTCATTTACACCGATCCAGTGTGTTCATTTACACCGACCCAGTGCGTTCATTTACACAGATCCAGTGTGTTCATTTACACAGATCCAGTGTGTTCATTTACACCGATCCAGTGCGTTCATTTACACAGATCCAGTGTGTTCATTTACACAGATCCAGTGTGTTCATTTACACAGATCCAGTGTGTTCATTTACACAGATCCAGTGCGTTCATTTACACGGATCCAGTGTGTTCATTTACACAGATCCAGTGTGTTCATTTACACAGATCCAGTGTGTTCATTTACACAGATCCAGTGCGTTCATTTACACCGATCCAGTGAGTTCATTTACACCGATCCAGTGCGTTCATTTACACAGATCCAGTGTGTTCATTTACACAGATCCAGTGCGTTCATTTACACGGATCCAGTGTGTTCATTTACACAGATCCAGTGTGTTCATTTACACAGATCCAGTGTGTTCATTTACACAGATCCAGTGCGTTCATTTACACCAATCCAGTGTGTTCATTTACACAGATCCAGTGCGTTCATTTACACAGATCCAGTGTGTTCATTTACACAGATCCAGTGTGTTCATTTCACAGATCCAGTGTGTTCATTTACACCGATCCAGTGCGTTCATTTACACAGATCCAGTGTGTTTATTAACACCGATCCAGTGCGTTCATTTACACAGATCCAGTGTGTTCATTTACACAGATCCAGTGCGTTCATTTACACCGATCCAGTGCGTTCATTTACACCGATCCAGTGTGTTCATTTACACCGATCCAGTGTGTTCATTTACACAGATCCAGTGCGTTCATTTACACAGATCCAGTGTGTTCATTTACACAGATCCAGTGTGTTCATTTTCACAATTCCAGTGTGTTCATTTACACAGATCCAGTGTGTTCATTTACACAGATCCAGTGTGTTCATTTACACAGATCCAGTGTGTTCATTTTCACAATTCCAGTGTGTTCATTTACACAGATCCAGTGCGTTCATTTACACAGATCCAGTGTGTTCATTTACACAGATCCAGTGTGTTCATTTACACCGATCCAGTGTGTTCATTTTCACCGATCCAGTGTGTTCATTTACACCGATCCAGTGCGTTCATTTACACAGATCCAGTGTGTTCATTTACACAGATCCAGTGCGTTCATTTACACCGATCCAGTGTGTTCATTTACACAGATCCAGTGTGTTCATTTACACAGATCCAGTGCGTTCATTTACACAGATCCAGTGTGTTCATTTACACAGATCCAGTGCGTTCATTTACACAGATCCAGTGTGTTCATTTACAAAGATCCAGTGCGTTCATTTACACAGATCCAGTGCGTTCATTTACACAGATCCAGTGCGTTCATTTACACAGATCCAGTGCGTTCATTTACACAGATCCAGTGTGTTCATTTACACAGATCCAGTGTGTTCATTTACACAGATCCAGTGTGTTCATTTACACAGATCCAGTGCGTTCATTTACACCGATCCAGTGTGTTCATTTACACAGATCCAGTGTGTTCATTTACACAGATCCAGTGCGTTCATTTACACAGATCCAGTGTGTTCATTTACACAGATCCAGTGCGTTCATTTACACAGATCCAGTGTGTTCATTTACACAGATCCAGTGCGTTCATTTACACAGATCCAGTGCGTTCATTTACACAGATCCAGTGCGTTCATTTACACAGATCCAGTGCGTTCATTTACACAGATCCAGTGTGTTCATTTACACAGATCCAGTGTGTTCATTTACACAGATCCAGTGCGTTCATTTACACAGATCCAGTGCGTTCAGTGTGACTGCCGCCACACATAATAAAACAAAACATTAAATAAAATAGTCCAGGCCTGGCCTCTCTCGTCCTTCTCTATTGACGCTCCTTCTTTTATGCTTCCGCTCCTCCGTGAGAGATGAGGCCGGTGTGTCGCGCAGGTGAAGCTCATCAGCAATCACACCACCGGCCTCGTCCTGCTCGCCACACTGCTCTTTTCAGTCTTCTCTCTGTCCCTCTCTCCCTCTCTCTCTCTCTCTCTCTCTCTCTCAGTCGTGGAACGCTCGGTTGTGTCTCGGCATCAGGATGAACCGTCATCAACATCATCTTCACGTGACGTAAGTCCTGCTGTCAGGGATGTGTGGGAAAACCTGCATGCGAACATCTACTGCATCTTCTGGAAACTGGGTATGAGAGAGGATTGTTTTATTTTCAGTAGTGTGACAGTAGCTAAAATAGCATACATTCTCAAGGAAAAATTTACTTTTAATATCAGCAACTACATAACAAGTCAGTATGCTTGTAAGGTCACAGTGTTTTACACATTTACACCTGAGCAAACAGATAATAATCAAACACGCTCCTAAACTCTCCTCATTTGACAGTCCAGTTCAATTTAAGTGAATTGCTGAATCTAGTCATAGATTTGAAAAGATAATCTTCAGTGCAGTTTATGTTGATTAAACACAGTAGCTTGACTGTAATGTCAGTTACTGCTTGAAATTAAAGTCTGGTTTTATCAATGCTGATCTGCAGGATTTGAGCAGCCGTCGGGTTTGAGCGCTGAAGACCTCGTCACACTCAGCATCATCCGCAGATACCTGGACTTCAAGGTGAGTCTTGATGACCTGTCAGCCTCGTCAGCATTAATGAGTGACATCACTGCCAACGCTCCTGCTTCACAGGTGGGAGAGGTTTTACACGAGGTCTGGACTGAGCTGTTGACCGAGGGAGTGACGCCCGTCTCGTCTGATGAAGAAGCCCTGAAGAGCCTTCGACAGGTCAGCGATGACACGGTGAAGAGCGTGCGCTCTCTGCAGCAAAGCATTCTGGGCCGTCAGCAGCAGGAGGAGCTGCAGGAGGAGAAGCTGCTGTATGAAGAGGTAAAACTGAGCATCACATGCAGTTCTGCTGTCCCGAGCTGCGTTTGGCGAATGGGTTGTGTGCGTTTGATCAGTACCTGAGAAACTCTTTTCCAGATCGGCTTCACTCATAAGCAGAGAGAGATCGCGGCAGAAGCCTGGAGGAGTTACGTGGCCAGAACCTCAAACTACAGCGTCCTGAAGGTCTGAGATCCTCATCCTCACACAGACTGGCATGTTCTCGAGTCTCTGCGTTAACTCGTGTGTGTGCGTGTGTGTGTGTGTGTGTGTGTCAGGAGTTCAAGCGTCTGCGGGAGGAATGGAGCACCAGCGGCCCCGACGCTCCATCAGAACCGGCCCTCGAGGGACCCGAGACACAACACACCCTCTCAGATCAATAAACCCAGTCCCATACGGCGAGTTCAGAGCAACCTGAAGTCATTTCACAACATATATACATTTGATGCTTTTCAGAGACATTGATATTTCTCATGTTCCGCAGTCTTTGCTCCTACAGCATATGTTTACATGCACAGTTTATTCTGGGCGTTTGAGCTCCGAGACCACATGTAAATGGCACCATCGTAATTGATGAAGAGAAAGCAAGTGTTTCTGGCTTGCTAACCCGAGCGCATGTGTACACCGCTAACGCTAACCCCAGCGCATGTGTACACCGCTAACGCTAACCCCAGCGCATGTGTACACCGCTAACGCTAACCCCAGCGCATGTGTACACCGCTAACGGCGTGTGTGGGCTGAGCTGCTGTGTGCATGCAAACGCAGACAAAGTTTCAGAGGATTTCCAGGGTAAACTTCAGATCAAGGTCTAGATCTCGACTGCAGATCTCAACATCAGCGCTCCGGATCATCGGACCATCGTTGGGGTCGAGCATCATGAGCGTGACCTCAAGCACACCAGAAGCCAAACATCACCCATGCTGAATGTCATCGATGATCATTGTGAAAGCGAGCATAATGACTAATAAAATAAGACTGCAGAATCAGAACAAAACAGTGTGTTTATTGAATGTCCAGTCATCTTTAAGTCAAGTCAAGTCACATTTATTTATATAACGCTTTTCACAATAGAGTGTTTCAAAGCAGCTTTACAGAGATAACAGGAAAATAATGCAACAAAGTTTGTTTTCAGAAGAAAATAGCATCACAGTCCAGCTTAAGTAAGTTTATTTCTACAGGGCTTTATACCGTGCAGATCTTTTCAAAGCACAGTCACAGTAATAAACAGGAAAATAACAGAATCAATGATTATGAAACTTGAGACAAACATCAAATATGAGACAAACTCAGATTCACTGTTTCTCTGATTCAGATTCACTGATTCAGATGTTTCTACCGAAGCGGAGGCCGTTCTAAAGGCCATTTTTGAAGCCGAAGCTAGATTGTGGTCAGAGGCGTCACATCGATCAGGATCTCTTGCTGATTTCAGAACTGTTCTTCTCACACTACCTTCATCATATCTTTCTATGCCAGCAATAGTAAGAGTAGTGTGCGTTTAGGAACACAGCATCAGTCACACACTGTTTAAAATTGGCCTCTGACTTTACTCAGTGATTCGTGAAGCTGGCCGTAAATAATAACCAACTGCAGAGCCGCAGATAACGCAGTTTCCAACCATCTTGAGTTCACAGAGCGGTTGAGCACTTTACGGTCATGTAACTCATGAACACACATGCGAAGCTATGACACCTAGTGGTGATTTGGAGCGCGTGCGACTGAAAGAACCAGATCTTCCCACAGAGCGAGTGGTCTTGGCCCGAATGTGTCCTCAGCCTCCTGTCAGCCAGAGCTGGGCCACGTGTGGCAATGATGCGGCAAAACACACGGTGGGAGGAGTGTGGCCCAGCTCTGTTCCACAAAAGCCTTTCCCTCGGCCCACACACCAGAGTGACGGCCTGTAGTGGCCCAGATCTGGATTACAGACTAGGACCACACATGGGCCGTAACTGGCCCGAGTCCCAGCCTTGCATGACCCGTGATGGCCCTGCACTGGGCCTGAAGAGGTTTTAGTATTGGTACAGATTCTCCAGGAGATTTGGATTACAGCACAAGAATTTAATACTTTTATGATCATTTTATTGTGTTTGTGGTGTATTTTACACCACATGATAATGGACATTTTTCACAGTAATGACAGTTCTTTTCATTCTGTTAAAACTTGTAAATTCAAAGATTAATTTTAAGCAATATTACACTTTAACATTTTTAACTGATTTAATCTTTATGATAATTTCACCATTAACGTGAGGTGCAATTTCCCCATGAAGTGCATCATGTCATGACACACGGGTCTCCTGTCCACTCCAGAGCCGGGGAGCCGACCGCTGCTGCAACAACCTGAAGTATCGAAGCTTTCCTTGTTGTTCGTATATAACTGCTGATTCAATAAAACGTGATTTTAGTTGGATCTGTTTGTCTGTCTTTAATTTTGCAGTGTTACTGTGATATTTATGTATGAATGATCATGTTAGGCTAGTAATGTAATAGCCAATGTTAGCAGTGCAGCATCTACTGGACAGCCCGAGTTTGCTTTTATATAAGTTTCGTTACCCTTGTTTGCGTTACAGACACCACTATGCAGGGACGTACGGTCAGGGTAGGCAGTGCCTCACCAAAGGAAATGTTGACATTACATTTATTAATTCCAAGAGCTTCATTAATTCACCACATTATTAATTGCATTTATTTTATTCCAAATATTAATTTTTGTTACAAAAATTTTCAGGAATGCACATATAATATACTCCTTTTGCCATTTTTGCTCCTAAAAAACATTGTTTCATGCAGGAAATTCAAGGCCATGGTCATTGAGGCAGAGGTTAGCAGTGCCTCTTTGGTCCATAGAACGTAGTTTACGTAGATTTGCGCATGCGCAGTCAGTTCTCATGTTGTCTTGAATTATCAACTTTGAGGCAGAGACCAAGCTTGCTTCATGTCACGTGATCCAATTGCTCTCACTCACTCCGCGCTTCCCGCTACCAGTGTTGCCAGATTGGGCGGTTTTGCAATCTATTTTGCGGGCAAAATGGGTTTGGGCGGGTGGATAAAAATTGGGCTGGTTTCGGATCGGTTCGGCGGGTTTTTGTAGCCGAAACACCGGCACTTCAGATCCTTCTTTCGGCGACCCCTCTGTTCATCAGGCAGTAGTCTCACTCACTCACACACACACACACACACACACTACAGCTCTGGCTGACGTGCCCTCTAAACTCACAATAGACACTCCCTCCAACTACCTTCGGTGTAGGCTACTTTTGCGCCCATTCCTTATTCCTTTTTTAACTAAAAACATGCTTTCTTCTTTATTCGTTTTTAGACTGGTGAAACAATATTCACATACAGACTTATTTTCCTTATACAATGCTTAGATAGGCTATTTAATTGAAAATCAAATAAGTGACATAAAACTTTTTTCCGTTTTACGAAATTTTATTTCTCAATTTTATTTGCGTTGACTTGGAAGATATAGATAACTGCCTACTGAGCCCGGGAAGTCACCTGTAAAAAAATAAATAAAAAAATCGTCTCCTCAGTTTATAAACCGTATAGGCTGTAAAATGTAGCTACTCGCGGATTTGTCTGTGCCGGCTGATTCAACCAGGCCAGCTGTTTGGGTGCGGCCGGCTGCACGGATACCATTGTGTTTAAACTTTATTTTTCTTTATTTACTTGTATCTTTGAAGTCAATTTTTAAAAAGGAAAAGCTCAGTAGCCTATAATATAATAAGCAATAAAAGACTTCTAGCCTAAAACAAAAACAATTCAAAAACTTTAAATGTTAGGTTATATAAAAATAAAACATTAATAAATTATTTTATGATAAACATATTACTGTCTTCTTAAGTGAACTCATTTATAGTTATAAACGCAAATAATAATTGTCATTATTATTATTAGCCTACATTTTGGCTAGAGGATGCTTTTATCATAAAAAGGAACAAAGCAATTTGTCAAATGTCAGTCATAATAGCCTACTGGTTAGACAATAATAATACAGGGCTAAGATTATTACAAATGAACACAAGTTTTGACGCATATCCAAGCAAGGGTTTGTGCAGAGTGTGAGCGCGCACTGCTGCATGGCACGGAGGCGCGGGCGCGAACACTTGCGTTTTTCTATCAACAGTGGAAACAACTTAAAATACTCTATCATTTCTGGTCATAGAAAATAAAAAATACACCATTCGCAACTACTTTTATTTGTGTAAACTCACAATAACAAGAAAACGTTGTGCTTTTGTAAAATAAAAGAAAACAATCAGTCGTGCTCTTTTATTGTCTCCGTGAACTGGATCATGTCTCAAAAATGAACTGAAACAAAATATAGCCTATGTAGGCTAAAGCTTGAAATGTCCACTTTTAAACGAACAAATTCGAATCGAAAGCAAATACAGTCTGATGATATGAATTTCTTATCTAAAGGCACATCTTACAGCGGAGATTTCCAGCCGATTTAGAAAATAGGCTACTAGTTTATTTATTAACAATTAAAATGCCTCGTTACTTTTTTAGAAACATTTATTATTAATAGCCTATAAATCATCTATAGCCTTAGAAATATAGTGTTTGGCCTTAGAAAACCAGTAAAATCGACATTTTGTCCATATCAATTAAAAGTTTAATAAAGGGGCAAAAAGTCATAAACAAAAATCTGAAAATACGTCAATATATAGGCTATATATATATAGGCTATATATATTTTTTGCGCAGCATTTGGTGTAGATATAGGCCTACAGTTCACATTCAAATTTTGGTGCTCAACTTTGCGTTTTGAAACTACAACATTCATTTTTCAATTACGGGTTAAAAAAGGAAAAACGCATGGAAGCAAAAGTACACCCCGACCAATGGGTAATTTTAAAGCTTGTTCATGATTTCAATGTGTTTAAACGAGAAAACAAGCCAAAAAAATTGGGCGGTGTTTTGTGCATTCTCGCGGTTTTTGACGAGGTTTTGGGCTGGAAAACCTTGCTGGCATCTGGCAACCCTGCCCGCTACTAGCATCTAGCGGCGCCGGTGTTCTGACGATTTGTGCTGCCTTGTCGAAAAATGCTACCGTAGCGCGAATCGATCACAGAATGTCGATTAATTAGTATTGAGAATTCAATTCTCAATACTAGTTCTACTCGATCTTAGCGCTGCGTTCGACACTATAGATCATAAAATACTCCTGGATCGACTACAAAACTACACTGGTGTTCAGGGACAGGCATTAAGCTGGTTCAGATCGTACTTATCAGACCGTTACCATTTTGTCTGTTTAAATGGGGAAAAATCGAAGATAACGTCAGTAGACTATGGAGTGCCGCAAGGATCGGTGTTAGGCCCTCTGCTATTCTCAATATATATGCTGCCACTTGGTAATATTATAAGAAAACATGGAATTAATTTCCACTGCTATGCTGATGACACTCAATTATATATTTCATCACGACCAGATGAATACACTAACTTATCTAAATTGACAGAATGTCTTAAAGATATAAAATGCTGGATGACGTGTAATTTCCTGCTACTAAATCCAGATAAAACTGAGGTATTACTTATTGGTCCAAAAAACTACCCACAAAATCTCTTACAATACAACTTTAATATAGAAGGATGTCCTGTTACCTTATCGACTACAGTAAAAGACCTGGGTGTTATACTAGACCGCAACTTGTCTTTCGAAAATCATATTTCGTATGTTACAAGAACAGCCTTTTTCCACCTTAGAAATATTGCTAAATTACGTAACATGCTATCTGTTTCTGATGCAGAAAAGTTAGTTCATGCATTCATGACCTCGAGACTAGATTATTGTAATGCTTTATTAGCTGGTTGTCCTGCATCTTCAATAAACAAGCTACAGTTAGTCCAAAATGCAGCCGCTAGAGTTCTTACTAGGTCAAGAAAATATGATCATATAACACCGATTCTATCATCTCTGCACTGGTTACCTATCAAGTTCCGTATCAATTACAAAGTACTACTACTGACCTATAAAGCCCTAAATGGTTTAGCTCCTGTGTATTTAATGGACCTTCTATCGCCCTACAATCCATCGCGTTCTTTAAGATCCCGAAATTCGAGGCTTCTGGTCATTCCTAGGATATCTAAGTCCACTAAAGGAGGGAGGGCGTTCTCACATTTAGCTCCTAAACTCTGGAATAGCCTTCCTGATACTGTTCGTGGCTCAGACTCGCTCTCCCAGTTCAAAACTAGATTAAAGACGCATCTCTTCAGCCAAGCGTTCACATAATGCTTACCTTTTATACCACTGTTGAATCAGATCGACTGCATTAATATTATGAACAGCAGCTACGCTAATTATTTCCCATCTGCTTTTCTGCTGTTATCTCGGGACGCTAGTCCCGAGGTAAATAGCGTTCGTCAGCTCCAGTTTGTATCCAGCCTCTCACGGAGACTTCAGACGCTCCAACACCTGCGATGAGACGACTCGACGCCTATGAAGAGACGACTCGACGCCTGTGAAGAGACGACTCGACGCCTGTGAAGAGACGACTCAACGCCGGCGATATGTTATGCCCTAAATTAATACATGATGATTAACTAACTATATTATTCTATGTACATTTCTGAAATGCACTTTCTGTAAAGCTGCTTTGAAACAATATGTATTGTGAAAAGCGCTATACAAATAAATTTGAATTGAATTGAATTGAATTAATATTAAATGAAATACAATTATAACACAATTCTAAGTTATGAGTAGCTACTGTATACTGTAGACTACTGTTTTTATTTTTAAAACGGTGTGAAAAGTAAAAATTATCTTCAAATATTAATCTTTGACTTGTTAAAGCACACCTTTCCTTAGTAACTGAAACTTTCAGTTATTCTTGTTCAGCTGACTGACCGTACAAATATTCATATGGTAGTTGGCATTTTTAAAAGGGAAATTACTTTATAACACATGAAAATTTACCTTTTGTTAAAAAAAAACTGAGTCTGCACATGCGCATAACCAGTAAGTAGCAAATCTCGATGGGTAGCATGAATCGTCAGAACACCGGCGATGCTGTCAACCTAGTTCGATGGCTGTGAACCGTTGGATATTTGGATATTATGGATATGTATTACTAAGATTTTCAACATTGTCTATGAAGAAAAAAAAGAGTAAGAAAGTAAGCACCCCCTTCAAAATGTAAATTAGTAATTTATTTATTATTTTTAAAACCCTTATATTGTCTTGTGTGTGTTGTCTGATGCTGGGCTAACGTAGGCCTGCTGTGCGCTGACACCAAAATGTTCTCTCTTCCATACCCTGGTGCGCCGTCACCTCTGCCACATTTGCACTGTATGTCTATTTGTGCGATTATGGTGCATTTCGTAAGGGTTAAAAATGCTGTTTTGTATTTCTCTTTTTTAATCCTGGTGCGCCGTCGCTCTCGCCTAGCGCAGTTTGTAGGAGCGAATAAGCTGTTTTTGTACTTTAAAGCTGTACTGCTGACACAAAGTTTTCTGACTGTAGCCTACTAAAATCCTGGTGCGGCGTCACCAGACCAAATAGTGTGTGTGTGTGTGTGTGGCTGTCTGTGTGCGTTTGCGCATTTTGAAGGAGTGATCAGGCTGCTTGTCGGTTCGCTGACACCGCGCCGGCGCCGCCTCCCTCTCTTGTCCCGCACAAAACAGTTGTTTGTTGTATAGCCTAAGTCATAAGATATGTGTCCATTAATTTGATTATTCGATTTGATTGTGCATTAGCCTCACATATGACTGACTTTGCTGTATGCAGGCAGCGATGTGATGATGCCTGATATGAACTTGGGTTGCTACATTAACTGAATGAATATATGAACATACATGCCACATTGATAGGTCACAGCCTACCCATGACAAGATTTCACAGCACGTTACTGCCACTATGCTACTAGCCGCTACACGAAACCACGAAACACGTCTTTTTTCTGCCCCCCAGTTGCGTGCGCAAGTTTTGGTTTACATAAGGCTGAGAATTGGTAACAAGAATAAAACCTATTCTGTCTCCTTTCAGGGCCAGTTGTGGGTCATTAAATGGGCGAGGGTCTGGTTAAAAGCTGGTGTTGATATGGTTTATTAATGGCTGAGAATCGGCGCCAGTATTAAAACCAGTTCTGGCCCAGTTCATGTCCTGTTATGGTTGTTAAATGGCTAGACTTGGGCTAGTGTTGGCATGGGCTAGTGTTGCTAGTGTTGGCCTGGGCTAGTGTTGGCCTGTACTAGTGTTGCTAGTGTTGGCCTGGGCTAGTGTTGGCCTGTACTAGTGTTGCTAGTGTTGGCCTGGGCTAGTGTTGGCCTGGGCTAGTGTTGCTAGTGTTGGCCTGGGCTAGTGTTGGCCTGGGCTAGTGTTGCTAGTGTTGGCCTGGGCTAGTGTTGCTAGTGTTGGCCTGGGCTAGTGTTGGCCTGTGTGGTCCATGTCTCCCGGATCTGAGCCGCTGCTGGGCCGTATATGCCGAGGGAAGTGGGTTCTGTGGAGCTGCGCCAGATTAAGTTTGCTATGTGGGTTATTGATTCATAATGTTAGTTTGATCATTCCAATAAATGAAGTGTGTGTGCATCATTTCTATTAGTAAATACCATTTCAAATGAACATTTATTGACACAAATGACATTTTATAAATGCATATGGATGAGTTATATACATTTATAGATATGTTTGTATTATGTTTATTTCTATCATATCACACTGGAAAACCACACGACTCTTTCTAGTCTTTGATGACGTTGCAGCGCGGCTTCACGTGCATAATGAACTGTGTTGTGTGTGTGTGTTTGAGAGAGAGAGAGAGAGAGAGAGAGAGAGAGAGAGAGAGAGAGAGAGAGAGAGAGAGAGAGAGAGAGAGAGAGAGATCAACTGTGTGATCTCATGCTGTCATGGTGAAACATCGCGATGGAATTCACGCGTCCTAAAGTTTGTGCGGCTTTCCGTCAGTGAGTGAAGATGAAGATGAAGATGAGGATGAGGATGAGGATGAGGGTCTCGCTGCTGCTGATGATGATGATCTTCTGTTGCGGATTCGTGTTTTGTGATCAGAATCATTCGGATCATCATGTTCAGAGAGTTTTTCCAGTCATATCGATTAATTACGATTATGTCCAGATGCCGTTCGAGGTCTCGCTCTGGATTCTGCTCGCGTCACTCATGAAACTGGGTGAGAAACTCATCAGTATTAAAACACTTTCATGATTATTATTATTATATCAGTTAATCACGAATATTGTAAGGATTATTATTAGTAGTAAAAGTTGCTGATCTGCTGTTTGTTTTGGCAACAGGTTTGTGTTTACTGTCTGAACTGTATGATGCGAGTTTATGTCAAACAGAGATACAACATTTCAAACGCATTATTCGTTCGTGTTAGATTAGCTAGTTAGTTTATTCTTGTGCGAGTGGCTCTGTTTCTCTCTGACCTCATTATGAGAGTTTATCTGAGTCTCCAGCTGCATTGAAGAAGTGTGTGTGAGGAGATAGAGCTGAAACACACACACACACACACACACACACACTCACTCACTCACTCACTCACTCACTCACTCACTCACTCAAGCACACTCTCTCTCACACACACACATACACTCAAGCACACACTCTCTCTCTCTCTCTCTCTCTCTCTCTCTCTCTCTCTCTCTCTCTCTCTCTCTCTCTCTCTCTGTGTGTGTTTGTTTGTCATGTCAACAGAAGCACACGGGATGTTTCCAATCAGCTCTGTCATAGGAAAACATTGTTTACTTTTGACACAATTTTCTGAATTTTGAGTAAATATGTGTAATATACACTCACCGGCCACTTTATTAGGTACCCCATGCTAGTAACGGGTTGGACCCCCTTTTGCCTTCAGAACTGCCTCAATTCTTCGTGGCATAGATTCAACAAGGTGCTGGAAGCATTCCTCAGGGAGTTTGGTCCATATTGACATGATGGCATCACACAGTTGCCGCAGATTTGTCGGCTGCACATCCATGATGCGAATCTCCCGTTCCACCACATCCCAAAGATGCTCTATTGGGTTGAGATCTGGTGACTGTGGAGGCCATTTTAGTACAGTGAACTCATTGTCATGTTCAAGAAACCAATTTGAAATGATTAGAGCTTTGTGACATGGTGGAAGTAGCCATCAGAGGATGGGTACATGGTGGCCATAAAGGGATGGACATGGTCAGAAACAATGCTCAGGTAGGCCGTGGCATTTAAACGATGCCCAATTGGCACTAAGGGGCCTAAAGTGTGCCAGGAAAACATCCCCCACACCATTACACCACCACCACCAGCCTGCACAGTGGTAACAAGGCATGATGGTTCCATGTTCTCATTCTGTTTACGCCAAATTCTGACTCTAACATCTGAATGTCTCAACAGAAATCGAGACTCATCAGACCAGGCAACATTTTTCCAGTCTTCAACTGCTCAATTTTGGTGAGCTCTTGCAAATTGTAGCCTCTTTTTCCTATTTGTAGTGGAGATGAGTGGTACCCGGTGGAGTCTTCTGCTGTTGTAGCCCATCCGCCTCAAGGTTGTGCGTGTTGTGGCTTCACAAATGCTTTGCTGCATACCTCGGTTGTAACGAGTGGTTATTTCAGTCACTGTTGCCCTTCTATCAGCTCGAACCAGTCTGGCCATTCTCCTCTGACCTCTGGCATCAACAAGGCATTTCCGCCCACAGAACTGCCGCTCACTGGATGTTTTTTCTTTTTCGGACCATTCTCTGTAAACCCTAGAGATGGTTGTGCGTGAAAATCCCAGTAGATTAGCAGTTTCTGAAATACTCAGACCAGCCCTTTTGGCACCAACAATCATGCCACGTTCAAAGTCACTCAAATCAACTTTCTTCCCCATACTGATGCTCGGTTTGAACTGCAGGAGATTGTCTTGACCATGTCTACATGCCTAAATGCACTGAGTTGCCGCCATGTGATTGGCTGCTTAGAAATTAAGTGTTAACGAGCAGTTGGACAGGTGTACCTAATAAAGTGGCCGGTGAGTGTATATTGCACGCACAACCCTAACCCTCTGCCGTCATTACATTGTCCATTAAATAAACCATTATTGACATGCTCTCTAGATCAATGTACAGTACTTTACTGACATTATTGTGTTTATATGCATTTTTGATATAATGTTAAGAAAAAGAAAAGTGCAATATAGGCCTAGCAATGACAAATCAATCAACAGTGTAGAATTAGAATAAGGTGCCAAATATTTAATAAAATAAATACTTATTTATCAGTCCAGCCCAGAGAGGAAGAGGATGTTGAGGAAGGCCAAGTCAAGTCAAGTCACCGTCATTTATACAGCGCTTTAACAATATTATTTACAGCTTTACAGTGATAACAGGAGATTACAGTAACAGAGATTGTTTGGCTTTACAGCAGCTCTAGAATAAAGTTATTGTCAGAGTTCTATCACTTCTGTCTAGTTTATATCTTGGTTTGGTGACAGAGCTCCCGGTTTGTCATGTGCTTGTGTTCTAGTCCTGTTAGTTGTGAGCTCATGCTTGTCAGGTGTTTGTTTGTGCCATGTGCTCTCCTGTCGATTGTCCAACCCCTCCCTGATTTCCTGATTGGTTCATTTGCCCCACCTGTCCTCCCTCGTTTCCTGCTTTTGTTTTCCTGCTAACCCTAACCCTACATTGCGACTAAATCTTCACTCTGGTGACTAAATGTTTATCAATAGCCATTGGCTAATAAATTCGTGACCAGAATTTTGAGATCGCAATAGACGTGAAGGACTATAATGCGTTAAGAGCTCGCTCAAGTACTGGGAGCTAAACCATTTAGTGCTTTGTAAGTAATCAGCAAGATTTTAAATTGTATACGATGTTTAATAGGGAGCCAATGCAGTGTTGACAGAACCGGGCTAATATGGTCATACTTCCTGGTTCTGGTAAGAACTCGAGCCGCTGCGTTTTGAACTAGCTGTAGTTTGTTTATTAAGCGTGCAGGGCAACCACCCAGTAGAGCATTACAGTAATCTAGCCTTGAGGTCATGAACGCATGAACTTACTGTTCCGCATTTCCCAATGAGAGCATATGGCGTAATTTAGATATATTTTTAAGATGGAAGAATGCGGTTTTACAGATACTAGACACGTGACTTTCAAATGAAAGATTGATATCAAAGAGCACCCACACACACACACACACACACAGGTTCCTAACCGACGACGAAGACTTGACAGAGCAGCCATCAAGTGTTAGACAGTATTCTAGGTTATTACGTGCAGAGGTTTTTGGTTCAATCATTAAAAAACTCTAACTGTAATTAAGTATTAAATTAAGTTGTAGGAAATTACTAGTCATCCAGTTATTTATATCAGCTATGCACTCCGTTAGTTTTGTGGATTGGTAAGTTTCGTCAGGGCGTGAAGAAATATACAGCTGAGTATCATCGGCATAACAGTGAAAACTAATGCCATGCTTCCTAATGATATCTCCTAAGGGTAGCATGTACAGAGTGTGTGTGTGTGTGTGTGTGTGTGTAGCATGTACAGAGTGAACAGCAGCGGCCCTAGTACTGAGCCTTGTGGTACGCCATACTGAACTTGTGATCGATAAGACATCTCTTCATTTACTGCTACAAACTGATAACGGTCAGTTAAGTATGATTTAAACCATGCTAGTGCAACTCCACTAATGCCAACATGATTTTTGAGTCTATTTAAAAGAATGTTGTGGTCAATAGTATCAAATGCAGCACTAAGATCGAGTAACACTAATAGAGAGATACAACCACGATCGGATGATAAGAGCAAATCGTTTGTGACTCTGATGAGAGCTGTCTCAGTGCCATGGTACGGTCTAAATCCGGACTGAAAATCCTCACAGATATCATTTCTTTCAAGAAAGGAACACAGTTGTGAGGATACTGCTTTTTCTAATATCTTTGACAGAAAAAGTAGATTCGAGATCGGCCTGAAAATTGACTAATTCTGTAGGATCAAGTTTAATTTTTTAAGTTTAACGGTTTAATAATCGCCAGCTTAAAAGTTTTCGGTACATATCCAAAAGACAAAGATGAATTAATGATATTAAGAAGAGGATCTTTGACCTCTGGAAATCTCTTTCAGCAGCTTAGTCGGTATAGGATCTAACATACAAGTTGTTGATGTTGTTGATTCAATGAATGAATGGAAGTTTTCCTCAGGGAGACTACAATGCACCGTCTGATGCGATACTGTAGTAGACGGTTGCATAGTTATTATTTTCTCTCTAATATAAAAGAGAGATTACTGTGTCATTACTGCTGTGCTGTTTGGAAACGTTTGGGGTTGAAGCTTTATTTCTTGTTAATTTAGCCACGGTTACAAATAAATACCTAGCGTTGTGTTTGTTTTCTTCTAAGAGGGCTAAAAAAAGATCTAGCAGTTTTTAAGGCCTCTCTGTACGCAATCGTGCTCTCTTTCCACAAAATGCGATAAACCTCTAGTTTTGTTTTCTTCCAGTTTCGCTCCATGTTTCTGGCTGCGCTCTTAAGGGCCTGAGTGTGTGTGTGTGTGTGTGTGTGTGTGTGCTCGCTGTACCACGGCATTGGACTATTTTCTTTAAGTACAAAGAAGCAACTGTGTCTAAAAAGCTGGAAAAGAGAGAGTAAATAGTTTCTGTTGCAACATCGAGTTCTTCTAAACTGAAGATGCTGATGAGATGAAACCGATCCGGAAGATCACCAACAATAAGGACTTTATCTGCAGCCGGTACTAACTCTGATAGAAAATCAGCAATCAGGCTCTTAATGGATTGTTCTAAAGTGTTTTGCTCAGCGTATGTATTGTAATGTTGCTGTTGAATTTGAAATTGATGTGTGTCTGTGTGTCTCTGTGTGTGCGTGTGTTTCTGTCTGTGTGTGTGTGTGCGTGTGTGTGTCTGTCTGTGTATCTGTGTGCGTGTGTGTTTGTCTGTCTGTCTGTCTGTCTGTCTGTGTGTGTGTGCGAGTGTGTTTGTCTGTCTGTGTGTCTGTGTGTCTGTGTGTCCGTGTGTGTCTGTGTGTGCGTGTGTGTGTCTGTGTGTGTGTGTGTCTGTGTGTGTCTGTGTGTGTTTGTGTGCGTGTGTGTGTGTGTGCGTGTGTGTGTGTGCGTGTGTGTACGTGTGTGTTTGTCTGTCTGTCTGTCTGTGTGTGGCTGTGTGTGTGTGTGTGTGTGTGTCTGTCTGTGTGTCCGTGTGTGTGTGTGTGTTTGTGTGTGTGTCCATGTGTGTGTGTGTGTGTTTGTGTGTGCGTGTGTGTTTGTCTGTGTGTGTGTGCGTGTGTGTTTGTCTGTGTGTGTGCGTGTGTGTTTGTCTGTGTGTGCGTGTGTGTGTGTGTGCGTGTGTGTGTGTGTGTGCGTGTGTGTGCGTGTGTTTGTGTGTGTGTCTGTCTGTGTGTCCGTGTGTCTGTGTGTGTGCGTGTGTGTTTGTCTGTGTGTCCATGTGTGTGTGTGTCTGTGTGTGTGTCCATGTGTGTGTGTGTCTGTGTTTGTGTGTGCGTGTGTGTTTGTCTGTGTGTGTGTGCGTGTGTGTTTGTCTGTGTGTGTGTGTGTGTGTGTGTGTGTGTGCGTGTGTGTTTGTCTGTGTGTGTGTGCGTGTGTGTGTGTGTGTGTGTGTGTGCGTGTGTGTGTCTGCGTGTGTTTGTCTGTTCTGTCTGTCTCTGTGTGTGTGTGTGTTTGTCTATGTCTATCTGTCTGTCTGTCTGTCTGTGTGTGTCTGTCTGTGTGTCCGTGTGTGTGTGTGTGTGGTCAGGCTTCCACCTGATCCCGCATGTGTCCGCTGTGGTTCCTGAGAGCTGTCTGCTGATCGTGGTGGGGCTGCTGGTCGGGGGTCTGATCCGTGTGCTGGGCGGGAAGGTTCCGGTCCTCGACTCTCAGCTCTTCTTCTTGTGTCTACTGCCGCCCATCATTCTGGACGCCGGATACTTCCTTCCCATCAGGCCCTTCTCCGAGAACGCCGGCACCATCCTGATGTTCGCGGTGGTGGGGACGCTGTGGAACGTGTTCTTCATGGGTGCGGTGCTGTACGGTGTGTGTCGGCTGGAGGAGCGCCTGGCCTCGGTGGATCTGCTGTCCTGTCTGCTGTTCTCCTCCATCGTCTCAGCCGTGGATCCCGTGGCGGTGCTCGCCGTCTTCCAGGAGATACACATCAACGAGCTTCTGCACATTCTAGTGTTCGGGGAGTCTCTGCTGAACGACGCCGTGACCGTGGTGAGAATGACGAATCTGCAGCTGAAACATTTCAAGAGTTTCCCAAACTGTCCCTCGTCTTCATCAGTCAGAAGCTCCATCTGACAGATCAATGAAAGCCTCACAGTGTTTCACTCAGTGATTGACTTACAGTGGCTCTGATGATGATGAACCAGCTGAAGGTCACACACTCCTCACTGAAGCTCACACACTCCCCACTGAAGCTCACACACTCCTCACTGAAGCTCACACACTCCCCACTGAAGCTCACACACTCCCCACTGAAGCTCACACACTCCCCACTGAAGCTCACACACTCCCCACTGAAGCTCACACACTCCTCACTGAAGCTCACACACTCCCCACTGAAGCTCACACACTCCCCACTGCAGCTCACACACTCCCCACTGAAGCTCACACACTCCCCACTGAAGCTCACACACTCCTCTCTGAAGCTCACACACTCCTCACTGAAGCTCACACACTCCCCACTGAAGCTCACACACTCCTCACTGAAGCTCACACACTCCCCACTGAAGCTCACACACTCCCCACTGAAGCTCACACACTCCTCACTGAAGCTCACACACTCCCCACTGAAGCTCACACACTCCTCACTGAAGCTCACACACTCCCCACTGAAGCTCACACACTCCCCACTGAAGCTCACACACTCCTCACTGAAGCTCACACACTCCCCACTGAAGCTCACACACTCCCCACTGAAGCTCACACACTCCTCACTGAAACTCACACACTCCCCACTGAAGCTCACACACTCCTCACTGAAGCTCACACACTCCCCACTGAAGCTCACACACTCCCCACTGAAGCTCACACACTCCTCACTGAAGCTCACACACTCCTCACTGAAGCTCACACACTCCCCACTGAAGCTCACACACTCCCCACTGAAGCTCACACACTCCTCACTGAAGGTCACACACTCCTCACTGAAGCTCACACACTCCCCACTGAAGCTCACACACTCCTCACTGAAGCTCACACACTCCCCACTGAAGCTCACACACTCCTCACTGAAGCTCACACACTCCTCACTGAAGCTCACACACTCCCCACTGAAGCTCACACACTCCCCACTGAAGCTCACACACTCCCCACTGAAGCTCACACACTCCTCACTGAAGCTCACACACTCCCCACTCAAGCTCACACACTCCTCACTGAAACTCACACACTCCCCACTGAAGCTCACACACTCCCCACTGAAGCTCACACACTCCCCACTGAAGCTCACACACTCCCCACTGAAGCTCACAGACTCCAGACTGAAGCTCACACACTCCCCACTGAAGCTCACACACTCCAGTCCTCACTGCAGCTCACACACTCCTCACTGAAGCTCACACACTCCTCACTGAAGCTCACACACTCCTCACTGAAGCTCACACACTCCCCACTGAAGCTCACACACTCCCCACTGAAGCTCACACACTCCTCACTGAAGCCCACACACTCCTCACTGAAACTCACACACTCCTCACTGAAGCTCACACACTCCTCACTGAAGCTCACACACTCCCCACTGAAGCTCACACACTCCTCACTGAAGCTCACACACTCCCCACTGAAGCTCACACACTCCCCACAGAAGCTCACACACTCCCCACTGAAGCTCACACACTCCTCACTGAAGCTCACACACTCCCCACTGAAGCTCACACACTCCCCACTGAAGCTCACACACTCCCCACTGAAGCTCACACACTCCCCACTGAAGCTCACACACTCCTCACTGCAGCTCACACACTCCTCACTGAAGCTCACACACTCCTCACTGAAGCTCACACACTCCCCACTGAAGCTCACACACTCCCCACTGAAGCTCACACACTCCTCACTGAAGCTCACACACTCCCCACTGAAGCTCACACACTCCCCACTGAAGCTCACACACTCCCCACTGAAGCTCACAGACTCCAGACTGAAGCTCACACACTCCAGTCCTCACTGCAGCTCACACACTCCTCACTGAAGCTCACACACTCCTCACTGAAGCTCACACACTCCTCACTGAAGCTCACACACTCCCCACTGAAGCTCACACACTCCCCACTGAAGCTCACACACTCCTCACTGAAGCCCACACACTCCTCACTGAAACTCACACACTCCTCACTGAAGCTCACACACTCCTCACTGAAGCTCACACACTCCCCACTGAAGCTCACACACTCCTCACTGAAGCTCACACACTCCCCACTGAAGCTCACACACTCCCCACAGAAGCTCACACACTCCCCACTGAAGCTCACACACTCCTCACTGAAGCTCACACACTCCCCACTGAAGCTCACACACTCCCCACTGAAGCTCACACACTCCCCACTGAAGCTCACACACTCCCCACTGAAGCTCACACACTCCCCACTGAAGCTCACACACTCCTCACTGCAGCTCACACACTCCTCACTGAAGCTCACACACTCCTCACTGAAGCTCACACACTCCCCACTGAAGCTCACACACTCCCCACTGAAGCTCACACACTCCCCACTGAAGCTCACACACTCCCCACTGAAGCTCACACACTCCTCACTGAAGCTCACACACTCCTCACTGAAGCTCACACACTCCCCACTGAAGCTCACACACTCCTCACTGAAGCTCACACACTCCCCACTGAAGCTCACACACTCCCCACTGAAGCTCACACACTCCTCACTGAAGCTCACACACTCCCCACTGAAGCTCACACACTCCTCACTGAAGCTCACACACTCCCCACTGAAGCTCACACACTCCCCACTGAAGCTCACACACTCCTCACTGAAGCTCACACACTCCCCACTGAAGCTCACACACTCCCCACTGAAGCTCACACACTCCTCACTGAAACTCACACACTCCCCACTGAAGCTCACACACTCCTCACTGAAGCTCACACACTCCCCACTGAAGCTCACACACTCCCCACTGAAGCTCACACACTCCTCACTGAAGCTCACACACTCCTCACTGAAGCTCACACACTCCCCACTGAAGCTCACACACTCCCCACTGAAGCTCACACACTCCTCACTGAAGGTCACACACTCCTCACTGAAGCTCACACACTCCCCACTGAAGCTCACACACTCCTCACTGAAGCTCACACACTCCCCACTGAAGCTCACACACTCCTCACTGAAGCTCACACACTCCCCACTGAAGCTCACACACTCCCCACTGAAGCTCACACACTCCCCACTGAAGCTCACACACTCCCCACTCAAGCTCACACACTCCCCACTGAAGCTCACACACTCCCCACTGAAGCTCACACACTCCCCACTGAAGCTCACACACTCCCCACTGAAGCTCACAGACTCCAGACTGAAGCTCACACACTCCCCACTGAAGCTCACACACTCCAGTCCTCACTGCAGCTCACACACTCCTCACTGAAGCTCACACACTCCTCACTGAAGCTCACACACTCCTCACTGAAGCTCACACACTCCCCACTGAAGCTCACACACTCCCCACTGAAGCTCACACACTCCTCACTGAAGCCCACACACTCCTCACTGAAACTCACACACTCCTCACTGAAGCTCACACACTCCTCACTGAAGCTCACACACTCCCCACTGAAGCTCACACACTCCTCACTGAAGCTCACACACTCCCCACTGAAGCTCACACACTCCCCACAGAAGCTCACACACTCCCCACTGAAGCTCACACACTCCTCACTGAAGCTCACACACTCCCCACTGAAGCTCACACACTCCCCACTGAAGCTCACACACTCCCCACTGAAGCTCACACACTCCCCACTGAAGCTCACACACTCCCCACTGAAGCTCACACACTCCTCACTGCAGCTCACACACTCCTCACTGAAGCTCACACACTCCTCACTGAAGCTCACACACTCCCCACTGAAGCTCACACACTCCCCACTGAAGCTCACACACTCCTCACTGAAGCTCACACACTCCCCACTGAAGCTCACACACTCCTCACTGAAGCTCACACACTCCCCACTGAAGCTCACAGACTCCAGACTGAAGCTCACACACTCCAGTCCTCACTGCAGCTCACACACTCCTCACTGAAGCTCACACACTCCTCACTGAAGCTCACACACTCCTCACTGAAGCTCACACACTCCCCACTGAAGCTCACACACTCCCCACTGAAGCTCACACACTCCTCACTGAAGCCCACACACTCCTCACTGAAACTCACACACTCCTCACTGAAGCTCACACACTCCTCACTGAAGCTCACACACTCCCCACTGAAGCTCACACACTCCTCACTGAAGCTCACACACTCCCCACTGAAGCTCACACACTCCCCACAGAAGCTCACACACTCCCCACTGAAGCTCACACACTCCTCACTGAAGCTCACACACTCCCCACTGAAGCTCACACACTCCCCACTGAAGCTCACACACTCCCCACTGAAGCTCACACACTCCCCACTGAAGCTCACACACTCCCCACTGAAGCTCACACACTCCTCACTGCAGCTCACACACTCCTCACTGAAGCTCACACACTCCTCACTGAAGCTCACACACTCCCCACTGAAGCTCACACACTCCCCACTGAAGCTCACACACTCCCCACTGAAGCTCACACACTCCCCACTGAAGCTCACACACTCCTCACTGAAGCTCACACACTCCTCACTGAAGCTCACACACTCCCCACTGAAGCTCACACACTCCTCACTGAAGCTCACACACTCCCCACTGAAGCTCACACACTCCTCACTGAAGCTCACACACTCCTCACTGAAGCTCACACACTCCTCACTGAAGCTCACACACTCCCCACTGAAGCTCACACACTCCCCACTGAAGCTCACACACTCCCCACTGAAGCTCACACACTCCTCACTGAAGCTCACACACTCCCCACTCAAGCTCACACACTCCTCACTGAAACTCACACACTCCCCACTGAAGCTCACACACTCCCCACTGAAGCTCACACACTCCCCACTGAAGCTCACACACTCCCCACTGAAGCTCACAGACTCCAGACTGAAGCTCACACACT